TATCCAACTGAATTGAATATTAGCTCCACATAAAAATCTACACACGAGGGGCTGGCGCCATGGCTCAATTGGCTAATCCTCCGCCTGTGGCGCCGGCATCCCATATGGGTTCCGGGTTCTAGTCCTGGCTGCTCCTCTTCCAGTCCAACTCTCTGCTGTGGCCCAGGAAGGCAGTGGAGGATGGGCTGCACCCACATGGGAGACCAGGAAGAGGTACCTGGCTCCTGGCTTTGGATCGGCGCAGTGCCAGCTGTGGCAGCCATTTGTGGGGTGAACCAATGGAAGGAAGACCTTTCTCTCTGTCTCTCTCTCACTGTCTAACTCTATCTGTGAAATAAAAAAAAAAACTACACACGGATGTTTATGGCAGCTTTCTTCATAATTGCCCTAACCTGGAAGCAACCAAGATGGCCTTCGGTAGATGAGTGGATGGACAAACTGTGGTACGTTACGTTCACAGGGTGACTGCTATTCACTGACAAAAAGAAATGAACTATGAAGCCACAAAAGGCATGACTCAATCTTAAACACATATTGCTAAGTGAAAGAAGTTAGTCATGAGGGCAGAAAACGCTATACTCTGTAAAATTCCAATTACAGAGCATTTTGCAAAAGAAAACTAAAGATATCAGTCATTCAGGTATTGTTGCTGTTGGTGCTGACGGAGGTTGAAGATAGGGAATGTTTTAGGATGGTGAAACTATTCTGTTTTATACTATAATCATGAATACATGACATTAAGCATTTACTGAAACTCACAGAACTTTAAAGCTCAAAACATTAACCCTGGGCTGGCGCTGTGGCTTAGTAGGTAAAGCCACCGTCTGCAGGGCTGGCATCCCATATGGCCACCAGTTCGAGTCCCAGCTGCTCCACTTCCAATCCAGCTCTCTGCTATGGCCTGGGAAAGCAGCAGAAGATGGTCCAGGTCCTTGAGCCCCTACACCTGCGTGGGAGACCTGGAAAAAACTCCTGGCTCCTGACTTCAGATCAGTGCAGCTTCAGCCATTGTGGCAAATTGGGGAGTGAACCAGCGGATGGAAGACCTCTGTCTCTCCTCTCTCTGTGTAACTCTGACTTTCAAATAAATAAATCTTTTAAAAAAATAAACCATTTTAAAAAAATTTATTACTTGTAAGGCAGAGTTAGAGGGAGTGAACAAACAGAGAGAGAGAGAGAGAGAGTTCCATTTGCTGGTTTACTCCCCAAATGGCCACAACAGCCAGGGCTGTGCCGGGATGAGGCCGGGAGCCTAGAGCTTCATCTGGGTCTCCCATGTGGGCACAGGGGCCCAAGCTTTTGGGTCATCTTCCACTGCTCTCTCAGGTGTATTTGCATGGAAGTGGATTGGAAGTGGAGCAGCAAGATCTTGAACTGGCACCAATATGGGATGCTAGCTTTGCAGATGGCAGCTTTACCCCTATGCTACAACGCCAGCCTCCAAAATATAAACAGTTTTTTTCTAAAGATTTATTTATTTATTTGTAAGTCAGAGTTACACACAGAGAGAAGGAGAGTCAGAGAGAGAGAGAGGGAGGTCTTCCATCCACTAGTTCACTCCCCAATTGGCTGCCATGGTTGAAGCTGCATTGATCCAAAGCCCGGAGCCAGGAGCTTCTTCTGGGTCTCCCACATGGGTGCAGGAGCCCAAGGACTTGGGCCATCTTCTACTGCTTTCCCAGACCATAGCAGAGAGCTGGATTGGAAGTGACTTGAACTGGTGCCCTTATGGGATGTCAGCACTGCAGGTGCTGGCTTTACCTGCTACGCCATAGCGCTGGCCCCTAAACCTTAATGTATATATATTTGACAGAAAAATCTAAATGTATTGCAAACATCCTAACTGAAGGGCATGGAGGAATAAAGTGCTGACATAACAAACTTTGGAAATGAGTAGTCTGTAAAACCAAATGTAACAGGAACTGTATATAAGCATTGTACTCTAGTTGATAATGTTGTTTCCTACATGGGCATAGGATAACAATTCTGAAACCACTATACATATTTGCTAGAATTAAGCAATTGAGTAAATAGAAGGTGGATGGCTGGAGCCAGGTTTCTCATGGTTGCAAAAGAGGAGACTAGTGTATGACTCATATGGTAGTAGAAACATCAGAATGATCTTATGCTTAGCTACACACACACACACACACACACACAGTTACATATAGATATAGCACATACATACGAACTTATCTCTTTGCTCTGTCAGCTGAGGCACAGAAGCAATGACACTCCCATAACAATTAACACACCAAACACCCAGATCTTGGTTTCTAATATCATTCTCTGATAAAAGGAGCTAGGTAGGGCCTCTTGGAAAAATGGCTGATTTGAAGATTGGGTAGGAAATATACCAAGTGATTCAGCAGCATCTTGTAGGGCCAGAAATTAAGAAAGTATTCAAAAACAAAACAAGAAAGTGAACAAAAATCCACAGTGATTTCAAATGAATAGATGTCAACAGAAAGGTCTCCCACAGTGGACAAAACTAAGCAACAACAAATTGATCATAAAATATTCATAATTCTATACTGATATTATTGTGTAGAAAAATCCAAATAATTTATGCAGATGCTCCACCCTTCAGCAGGTGGAATGGTTAAGTCGTACTGTTTTTTTTTTTAACTTTTATTTTTTTTTTATTTTTTATTTTTTTTGACAGGCAGAGTGGACAGTGAGAGAGAGAGACAGAGAGAAAGGTCTTCCTTTTGCCGTTGGTTCACCCTCCAATGGCCGCCGCGGCCGGCGCGCTGCGGCCGGCGCACCGCGCTGATCCGATGGCAGGAGCCAGGAGCCAGGTGCTTTTCCTGGTCTCCCCATGGGGTGCAGGGCCCAAGCACCTGGGCCATCCTCCACTGCACTCCTGGGCCACAGCAGAGAGCTGGCTTGGAAGAGGGGCAACCGGGACAGAATCCGGCACCCCGACCGGGACTAGAACCTGGTGTGCCGGCGCCGCAAGGTGGAGGATTAGCCTAGTGAGCCGCGGCGCCGGCCATTTTTTTTAACTTTTATTTAATGAATATAAATTTCCAAAGTACGACTTATGGATTACAATGGCTTCCCCCCCATACCGTCCCTCCCACCCACAACCCTCCACTTTCCCACTCCCTCTCCCCTTCCATTCACATCAAGATTCATTTTCAATTATCTTAATATACAGAAGATCAGCTTAGTATACATTAAGTAAGGATTTCAACAGTTTGCTCCCACACAGAAACATAAAGTGAAAAATAATAGATGATTTTTTTAAATGATGAAGTCGTACTGTTTAAGTGTGGGCTGCACATGGTAACTTTCTTCTGAAGGTTTTGATATGAAAAGGGGACAAAGAGAGTGGCAGTGGAAAAGCCAAATGACCAGGGTTGACAATAACAGCAACAAGTCATACTGCTGGTAAGTCCTACTGATGTGATGTGACAAGAAAGGCACTTTATCTCTGTGGTCTTCCTCCCAAGAACACATTATCTCAGTCTAACTGAGATAAGTATCAGACAAATGTCAACTCAGGAACAACCTAAAAAGTACCTGATGGGTGCTCCTCAAAACAGTCAAGGTAATGAAAAGCAAAGAAAATCTAAGAAACTGTTACAACCAAGAGGAGTCCAAGGAGACATGATGACTACATGTAATGCGGGTGGGATCTTAGAACTGAAAAAGAACAGTAGGTACAAAACAGAAAGTGCAAATAGAGTAGGAACTTCAGTTAGTAGAAATGTCATAAATGTGCCACATTAAACTGTTTATAGGGAACACCAGTATATGGGAACTCTCTACAATAATTTTATAAATTTAAAACTGTTCTAAAAATTAAACACTTATTTTTTTAAAAAAGATTTACCCATTTGAAAGTCAGAATTACACAGAGAGAGGAGAAGCAGAGAGAGAGAGAGAGAGAGAGAGAGAGAGAGGTCTTCCATCCGATGGTCCACTCCCCAACTTGTCGCAATGGCTGGAGTTGCGCTGATCCAAAGCCAGGAGCTAGGAGCTTCTTCCGGGTCTCCCACATGGGCGCAGGGGCCCAAGGATTTGGGCCATCTTCTACTGCTTTCCCAGGCCATAGCAGAGAGCTGGGTCAGAAGTGGAGCAGCCAGGTCTCAAATCGGCACCCATATGGGATGCTGGCGCCTCAAGACAGGGCATTAACTCACTGTACCACAGCACTGGCCCTGAAATTAAACACTTATTTAAAAAATTAGCCAAAGGCACCAGTTTGAGTCCAGATTGCTCCTCTTCTGATCCAGCTCTCTGCTATGGCCTGGGAAAGCAGTAGAAGATGGCTCAAGTACTTGGGCTCCTCACCCACGTGGGAGGCCTGGATGAAGCTCCTGGCTCCTGGCTTCAGATCAGCACAGTTCTGGCCATTGCGGCCATCTGGGGAGTAAACCAGTGGATGGAAGACTTCTCTTTCTCTCTCTGCCTCTCTGTAACTCTGCCTTTCAAATTAATTAATTAATTAATTAATCTTTAAAAAATGTTAGCCAAAGGGAGCCAACAAATGGATCCTTGCAGGAAACTGACATCCTATTTATAGTGTGCCATGAAATGATCCATCAAAAAATTGAATTTCTGAAGTATTAAAGTTCCAGGTATCTATTGCTTGCACCCATTAAAACGACATCCTGCAAAAAGTAAAACAATTCTCAAGGAGGGACATAATTGTGAGAAAGGTGTGGGGTATTCTCACAGACCTTGCAGAGTTTGGAGGTCTGTTCCCTTGACTACCCAAAATCTTAGCAGTGCCTTGAGGATGCTCTGGTTCTCTTCCAGGATCCTCCCATACTCCTGTGACTGGATTATTTCCACCACCCCAGCAATTGAACCATGTTAGGTAGAGGAGTACAACAATGATCCCAGGTATCCTAGTCTCCTGCTGTTGCCTTAATAAATGATCACACACTTAGTGGCCTGAAACAGCGCAAATAGGTATTATCTCCCTGAATCTTTCCAACACACCTGACATGTTCTCTCGACCATTATCACTTTTGTAGATAACTTACATAGGCGTACGTAGTACTCAGAAGTAGACTATAGATGGGCTCCGAAAATGGTCTCCAAAGAGTATCATCACAGTAGTCTTGCATTGTTTTCTGTAAAAGTGATATTTCAGAGAGAAACAAACTTTTGTTTATGTCACTATTATGATAGATCTGTCAAAGCTTCTAAGTTTAATCATTTCCAAGTTCTATTATTCTTACTTCTGTGACATTTTCCCTGTCCATCCACTGACAGTCCACAAATTCATTTCTTCTCTGTTACCAAAAGACCTTCCTGAGCTGGTCTCAAATTCGGTGGTTTTCAAGGTGATTTTTGTCTCCGGAGGGATATTTATCAATTTATGAAGCACCTTTGGTTCTTACAACTTGGGAGGTAGAGGGTGGTACTGATATTTTGTGGAGAGAGTTCAGGAATGCTGCTAAACATCGTACAATGCATAGAACTGTCCCCACAGTAAGGCCTCTGTGACCCAAAATGTCACTGGTGGTGAAGTGAAGAAACTGATGCAATCTCTACCCCTCCGCCCTTCAGCGATAGATGACAGATTCACATTTCAGATCTGAGTGTGCCCTTGGCATTATACACCTGTCAGATACATTGCTTCCTAACACCTTCGGAACAGCCTGCCCCATATTTGTGGGGGGAGGATGTGGATTTCAATACTATGAGTCCTGCTTCCCCAAGGGAGGAGTTCACACCCCAGCTACCAGTCTCCTTTGGAGTTCAAGCTCAGGTGTGGGACCTAGATTCTATTAGATGCACTCCAGTGAGCCTGTGATTTGGAAGCAAGATGAAGCAACAGGCTCTTTTGGAAGTTTGGCATTTTGTTGGTGCAGGAGGTTACACAAGAATGTGATACTCGATGACAGGAATGGCAGCCATTCTCCAGTGGTTCCTGGCTATGGTGGCAGCAGCTTCCTGCAGGGTAGTGTGTGTGACAACAACAATCCCGATTGTAGCAGTTTCTGCACCAGGCCAGTTTTACAGCATGGTTCTGAGCTTTGGTCTTGGAAGCTTCGCCTGGCACTACTTTCCCCATCTTCCCTCAATTCCCTGTAGAGTCACCCCTTTACTGTGTAGTCAGTCAGAGTTGGCTTCTAGTAGATTCCTCGGCTTCAAACGCTTTAGTGGCCTCCCATACATTCCAGCATGTGTCCAAATTGCTCAGCTCAAGGTGCTTCATTTCCTGGGATGTCCCTACTCTGTCCTGCACTGTGATCACTGTCACCCCGGTCCTAACACCCTTCCTCAATCCTATACTGCTTGCTACCATAAAGTCTACTGGGCAACCCTCCTCCACCTATATTTATCTCTATTAAACAAAAGCCATTTTTTTTTCACTCTGCTGCACAAGTTGATTCACTAAATCACAAATGGCATGGCCAGGGCAGGAACATGGCTCTTTGGTTTCTCAGTTTCTGGCACTTAGGCTGCGATCAGTCATCAACACGCAGAACGAAAGCCAGGATGTGGACAAGTGCTGCCACCTGTTGGCAGAGACGTACATGTGCAATCATTTGGACCACGGTCCTCACCCAAGGACCAGACTCGATGACATCCGGTCCCTCGCCCAAGTCATCGTCATCACCACTGTCAGAACCCCCAGGATGATCCCTGGTGGACCCCCAATCAACCCTGTCGGTATTCACGCCTCTGGGCTGATGCTCCCACGCTGAGGGGCTGGGTTTGTGACCAGAAGGCAGAAGCACTGGCGTGGGACTTCAGAGGCCAGGTGATAAGAGACACGGTGGCTTTGACTTGGTCTCTCTCTTGGACGTCTCCCTCCGAGGCAAGCCAGCTGGCCCGCCTGGGCAGGTCGGGGGTGGGGGGAAGCCGAGGCCGCCCGCCGAGTCCTGAGCGTGAGCCGTCGCGGGAGTGGGCGCTCCAGCCCATGTCCACCTCAGACGACAGCGGCCCCGGCCCACGTCTCAAGAGACCCTGAGGCAGTGCGATCCCGCCAGGCCACCCCAACTGTGGTTGGTGCTTTAAGCCGCTACGTTCCGGGGTGTCTGCTACCCAGTCTCCGACACAGACCCTCCAGTCGTAAACCCTTTCTTCACATTTTGCTGTGGCAGGAGCAAGTTAACCGGAGCCGCGGCTCAATCCAAGGAGCCTCAGCCCAAAAGTTTTCTCAGGAAACTGCCACGGCAGAAATGGGGCAAGGAGCAGGTCCTTGAGCGGCGGCGACTTTCCAGCGCCCAAGTCCCGTCAAGCACCCCAGAGGGCGCCCGCACAGCCACCACCCCGGAAGTACGGCAGCCAGCGCGCCGGGCGGCAGAGTCGGCGCCTGCGCAGTGTGCGCCTCGCGCCCCCCACCTCCCAGGCAGTGCCGTTGCGCGCCGAGTCATCGATAGGAAGACTTCCGTACGGCCGGGGTCGCGTAGGCTGCCAGCTGCCCGCTCGCCGGGTGGGCTCCAGGGGGCGCCCTCGATAGAGGGGGCGGAGCGTTCGGGGTCGAGAGGCCGCGGCTGGGGACCTTGACCCGGTTACATCTGAACACCCGCACAGCCACGTAGTCGCCGCTCCAGGGAGGGTCGTCTCCCATTTCCACCGTCCGGGTCCCCGCCGCCATGAAGCTGCGGGTGCGGGTTCAGAAGCGAACCTGGCCGGTGGAGGTGCCCGATGCGGAGCCGACGCTGGGGCAGCTGCGCGCGCACCTGAGCCAGGCCCTGCTGCCCACCTGGGGGTACAGGTACGCGCGGGCCGCGGCGGGAGTGGCCCGCGGCGCGGGCGTGGCCGGGCGGAGCCGGGACACTCGGGGTGTCGCCTGCCCCCGGGGCGCGGGCACTGTGACGCGCGGGGCGCGCCGGGCTCTGCTGGCCGGGGTCGCGGCTCCTGGAGGACATGGCGCAGCCCCCCGGGGCCCTCCCGGGTGAGTGAGCGCTCGCGGCCTCGCGGGGAGCGAAACCGAGCCCTCAGCCTTGGAAACGAAACCGGGGGTGTGCACGGCCGGTGCGGGTTCCCGTCAGAAGTGAGGAGCAGGGGGCTCGGCCGGGCCGGGGTTCGGGGGTCGCCTCCGGGAACGCGCTGGGAGGGCAGAGTCTGCGCCCCTCAGGCTGCGCGGACGGGGCGCGCAGATTCGCGGCTCTCCCGACTTTCCTGGCTGCTTTTTATTTGCTGTTTATTGATTTTTGCCAACGTTGGCCTTCGCCGTGACCCTGGGCAGCCCGCAGTTTGGAGGCGATGAAGCTGAGAAAGGCTCCAGCTCCGTTGCTAGTTGACGGGGCTGCAGGGGAAGCCGCGTTCTGGGAACCACGCTCTGGGGTCCTAGGGACCATGGCGGGGCGACTCTGTTCTCAGCTGGCGAGCTGGGTTGGCTCAAAAGAAAACTTTCCGAATTAACTTCTTTGATGGGGTTTCCGTTGTGTGCGTGCGCACACGTGCATCTCATTATTGTTTTTAAATGAGCACCGGTCTGAAAGGATGTGAAACCCAATATGATTGTTTGCCCAAGAGCCCAAGTTGGTTTCTCTTTCGGGTTTGTTTTTTGCAGTTCAGACTGGTTAAGTGGCACGAGTTTTAAGTTTCAGCTTTGAAAGTAAGCTCATTTTTTTCTGTACGTTCATTTTATAATAAACAGGTAGTTTTAAAATGTGTCCCTATGACATTATGTTTTTTTTTCTTTTTTATTTAGTAAATATAAATTTTCAAAGTACAGTTAATGGATTACAATGGGACATTCTTATTTGTAAAGTGTCTTTACTAAGCAATTGCATCAAGGATTGCTATAAAACATTTTTGAAAAGCCTGGCGTTGCTAGAATTTCATTTTTCTGGTGAAGTTACCCGCCCCCGCCCCAATTTCAGAAAATGAAACCTTCAAGAAACTACATGTTACTCTAGAAGTAAGAGGGTGTTTCAGAATTTCCTGAGAAAATGGAACTGGAATGTAAGTTCACTTTGGTACAACAATATTTTTGAAATCCACACTTTTGTTTCTTCATAATGCACGTTTTCTGTAGAGGCATGTGAAGCTGACATTTTTATTAAGCAGGCATTCATTACCTTTTCTAGAAATAGATATTTGCATGTGCAGCAGACTAGGTCCTGTTTAGAAAAACAAGCTGTTGCTGTGACAAATGCTCTCTAAACACCTAGTTCATTTGCGGTATCTTTTTCCTTTTCTGCCAGAACCAGGGTGGTGGTTTTATGGGCAGATGGCAGATTTTCAATGTTTGGTTTATTAAAGCATTTTGGAAAAAGAAGCAGAGTGACATCTTTTTCTTATAAGCAGGAATTCTCTACCAAAGACACTTTATTTGGCAAGAAAAAAATGTATTTCTGTGTGAAAGAAAGACAGATGAGTTGGTTCCAACACTTCTCAAAATGCAGCATTGTAGGAAATAGTGAAGGGAACATGGTTTTCAGAGGACTTTGTGTTTTGTTAACCTCTCAGGATTTATCCAGATTAGCCTTGCTGAGTGTCAGTGTCTCCTAAAACGTGTTGCGCTGGGTCGGTAACTATTCCTCACCACTGTGTGATGACAAAGGATGGTATTCGGCACAGCCCCAGGAATCCAGTGCAGAAAGGCCGGCAGTTCATTGCTTCAGGCTTGTGTTCTTAACTTGGGTGGCACTGAGTCTCTGGGTTTGTGCTGTCTTCCCTGTAAAAGGCATGTAACTGATCATCCATCCCTAGGAAGGTGAACTTGTACTGCAGTCTTCAACAGCGGGGGCTGGGATGAATTTGTACTCAGCTATCTCCACTTTTTGTGATTGCGAATATTCTTTTAGGATGTAGGTTCAGTATTTTGGGACCTATGTAGGCAAGCTGTCATTGAGTTAGGCATTCACTCTCATCTTTGTCTTCCCAACTAATGTTGGGAGGTTGGTATTTTTTGTACAAATATATTATTTGCCAACTGCTGGAGATACTATTTGAAACTAGACGGACAAGATCTCTGATCTTATGCATCTTAAGTTCTAGTGGTAGGGGTGTGGGAGACAGGTAATAAACAATTAAATAACTATTTTCAAATGGTGTTACAATAAAATTAAGCATGGGGATGGATTAGAGAGTGCTGGGGGCATCTCTGAGGCGGTGACATTGGAACTGACCTGGAAGAGCAGCTACAGCGGCCCAAAGGCTGCAGTGAGATTTTCCGAGTGGGGGGATGGAAAGCTCCCGTGACTACCGTGCAGTGTGTGAGGGAGGATGTCGCCAGCTTTGCTGGAAGTGGGAAGGGGCCCAGTGTCAGCTTTGGAGGCCAGGTTAAGGATTATTCCAAGTTCAGGCGGAGCCAGTGGAACATTTTAATTGGAGGAATGATGTGATCTACTTTATATTTGAAAAGTGGTATTTCATCGAATCTCATTTGCTATCTAGTGTAAGACCCACACTGTTTGATGTAACACGAAGGGAAAATGCTGTCAATTAAACTGATAATGTTTAACTGAGCCATCCTGGTTTGAAAGGTGTCAAAATATATAAAAAACATGTGTCCTAGATTTGATGAAAACATGGATTAATGCTAGGAAAGTACTGTGTCCATCCCCCAGGCTAGAATTCAACTGTTAGAAATCTATCAACTAGGCATTTGAAGATAAGAACAAATACATGTAGATAATTGTATGAGAACTTTGGTCTCTCTCACTCCTTCCCTCCCCGCCCCCCTTTTTCATTGATTAGTTCCTCTAGCATCATGCCATGTACTTATGTGTGTTTCAGATGTATTATTGAGGGCAATGGTAATAGATCACTCTTACTGTCCTTATTCATCTCTCTTGGCAGTTCTGATACCCGATTTGCAGTTTCATTGAACAACAAGGATGCCCTCACTGGAGATGAAGAGACCTTGGCTTCATATGGGATTGTTTCTGGGGACTTGATATGTTTGATTCTTGAAGATGCCATTCCAGCAGCTAACTTGCCTTCATCCACAGATTCAGAGAATTCCTCAGTCCAGAATAATGACCACCCCTCTTTGGCCGCCAGCTCCAGTCAGGCCAGCCAGCCCGATGAACAACTGCGCGATTCATTCCAAGAACAGGCAGCTCAGTCTGACGTCTGGCATGATGACAGCATGGTAGGTATGAAGGGCCCACGTGTGAAGTGGAGTAGTTGATAACTCACATTGAACTCCTCCGTTGAACTCCTGATCATTCAGGATAGTTACTACCAGGCGACTGCAGGTTACATTCTCAGAGAACGTTATTTTTTTAAAAAACTGCTAAAGGTCTGAAGCAGTACGGGGCTGTTATTCCAGAGTGTCTAGTTTGTACCTTGATGTTTTGTTCACTCACTGTTTTGGCTACAGTACCCATTGGCTTTGGCGGCTGTCTCTGTGCTCCTGATCCCCAGCTTGGCTTCTGGGGAAGCTACCCCACAAAGCTGTTCTAGTCCAGTGATTTCCACAAGGCTTGAGGACACGTGCACCCGGAGTGCTTAAACTGTTAAGTTAGTCTTGAGATGTCTAACACGAACTCGGAAGGCTGTGCACATCCCATCCTTCTCTGCCCGTCGGTGGCACAGCTGTTTTCCTGTGGTTTTTGACTCCTGATCGCCAGCCCGTTAACCAGCTGCGTCAGTTTTTCTTTTTCATGTTAGGCTTCCAATGTCTTCTTCAATCTGCTTTCAAGTTTTGCCATTTTCCTATGTTCTTCATTTTCTTGTTTCTTTGCTCTGTAGTAACTGTCTAGTAAATAGACCATAATTTTTGAGCTGAAAAAAAAATCAAGTTCCATCTGTATTTTTTTTTAAGATTTATTTATTTATTAGCAAGGCAGAGTTACAGAGAGAGAGAGAAACAGAGAGAGAAAGAGACATCTTCCATTGCTGGTTCACTCCCAGATGACCGCAACAGCCGGAGCTTCTTTCCGGTCTCACACGTGGGTGCAGGGGCCCAAGGACTTGGGCCATCTTCTACTGCTTTTGCAGGCCATAGCAGAGAGCTGGATCGGAAGCGGAGCAGCTGGGACTGCGGCAGCGGCTTTACCCGCTGTGCCACAGCGCCGCCACAGCGCCGGGGCCTCCGTCTGTCTTAAAGAGGAAAATGTTGTCTGTCTTCCTGTTCCTAGTTTTCGAGGCTTTCTGGAAAGCTGCCTCCCCCTCCCCTTTCCAGGGCTGGTTTTTGTTCTCCCTCCTGTAAACACCTGTCTCCTGCCAGACCAGACTCCTTCATCATCTCCACCCACCAGCCAGCACGTCACAGGCTCCAGGGCCCAGGCGCACATGGCAGTGACCCCTTCTGCACCTTAGCTCTCGTTGTTCACCCACACTGAGGCCCCCTGCCTGTCCTGCCTCTCGGTCTGTGTGTCTGCCCATCTCCCCAGGCCTGTGCCTGCTGTAACCCAACGTTTGATTTGATTTCTTTGGATTGTTTATCTTGTTTTATCAACACCTCTATATTATCCCATTTAAAAATTTAAAAATTTCTTTTATGGTACAAATGATTACTTTTTTTACATTTGAAAATACAAACACATGCCTTTTTGTTAATTGTTTTGTGTGTATACTTTTTTTAAAAAACAAGGATTTATTTATTTGAAAGAGTTACAGAGAGGCAGAGGCAGAGAGCGAAGTCTTCCCTTCCGCGGTTCACTCCCCAGATGGCTGCAACGGCCAGAGCTGGGCTGATCTGAAGCCAGGAGCCTCTTCTGGATCTCCCGTGAGCGTGGGAGGCCTTGGGCCATCTTCCACTGCTTTCCCAGGCCATGGCAGAGAGCTGGATCAGAAGTGGAGCAGCTGGGACCTGAACTAGCACCCACATGGGAGGCTTTACCACTACGCCAGAGCGCTGGCCCCTTGTGTGTGTACTTGCCATCTCAGCCAAAGCATTCATGGTACCTCTCATGGCATTAAGTTTAGATAGATACTAAAACAACACTTTTTAACAGATTGGTAAATTGTGGAAAATCACTTATGTCTGAATAAATGGATTTTAATTTATTTTAGAAACTATTGGATCTCTGTGTTTCTGCCTCATAGAGATAATTTAGAGAATAAGTAAGAATATTTAGATACATTTTAAAATTGCACTTCCAAGGTTTTTTTTTTTTTTTGCTGAGCAAGGGATAACTTTAGTAGAAGGGCTTATTCTCTGTGTACATTAAACAAGGTGAAGCTTTTCATAGCATAGGAGAATGTTGAGAAGTTAGTGTTGCCTCAAGTTAATAATTTCAGTACTAAAACCATTGTGTGGTATTCCAAGGGTTGTGACTGGAAAAACTCAGCATGGTAACCAAGCCTAAATAACCCCGTGAGTACTTGATACAGTATGATCTGCTTCAGTGTGGAATGGAGCCATAGAAAAGGAAATAGATGGGGAAAGTTTAAAACCATAGGAGATACATTTCACCCTTGTAATCAAACAAGAAATTGATTTTCTGATTTCACTGTCTTTGAGAACTCATCTAGTGTGTGTTGAGTCTTTAATGAGGAACAGAGGTGGAGGTGTCAGAGATCTCTTAGGTACGTGTTAGTCACCCGTTTCAGTCCCTTGCCAGTGGCCGTGGCAAAGTGATCTGCTCTGAGAGGTGGTGCCCAGCACCCAGCACGTGTGAAGAAGATAACCGTTATCAGCACGGCTCAGGGCGTGGGCCGCTTCTCGCGGCGTGGGAGGCCGTTTGGACAAGTCTGCCGGGGCCTTGCGCTCTTCCTCCTGTGTGATTATCAGCTTAGGGTGACCCTGTTTCTATTTTCCCACAAATGTGAGAACAGCTCTCACCTCTCACTCCACCCTTTCACTCACACTATATAGTTTTAATTTCCTCTGCCCTTTCTTCAGCGGGAATCCAGATGTAAAAGGAGAAACATGTGCTTTGCCTTAAGAGTGGGGCTCTTGCCTAGGAAACAAGCTTGCCGAGCAAAGCTAACGTAGCTGACTTGGTTTCGCTGAAGCTGTGTATTGTGTCTACAAGCTCTGAACTGCAAGTCTGGGGGTCTGGGTCCATTTCAGATCTTTATTAGCTGCTAACCTTCACTGTATTATTTAATCTTTCTGGATCATGTTTATAGCGTCTATAAAAAGGTGATATCGGCCGGCGCCGCGGCTCACTAGGCTAATCCTCCGCCTGCAGCACCGGCACCCCAGGTTCTAGTCCCGATCAGGGTGCTGGATTCTGTCCTGGTTGCTCCTCTTCCAGGCCAGCTCTCTGCTGTGGCCCGGGAGTGCAGTGGAGGATGGCCCAAGTGCTTGGGCCCTGCACCTGCATGGGAGACCAGGAGAAGCACCTGGCTCCTGCCTTCAGATCAGCGCAGTGCGCCGGCCGGAGCAGCCATTGGAGAGTGAACCAACGGCAAAAGGAAGACCATTCTCTTTGTTTCTCTCTCACTGTCCACACTGCCTGTCAGGAAAAAAAAAAAAAAAAAAAAGCGATATCCTCTGCCCTGCCTGTTTTATAAAAAGGATCATGGAAAGGTGCAAAGGAGAAAACACTTTGAAAACAACACTGTGAAGTTGTGAGATGCTGTCCTTCGGCAGTTGCTCAGCAGGCTTTTATTGTAATACCTGCTGTGCGCTGGGTGCTGTACGAGGGTTACAGACATGGGGGACATTTCCGTGGTCTGCTCCTCCATAGTCGGCTTGCAGCCATGGAGGGATACAGATGGATAATCAGAAAATCGTGGTGCAGTGTGGTGAGGGACGATGATGAAGGCCTTTGCAAGGCAGCCTCTGTTCCCTCTGTTGAGAGATGGGGAATACCAAAGTGGGCAGGAAGGTACTGGCAGAACGTGTGCTGTTAGAGTCAGGGGCCAGGCAGGCGCTGTGGCATAGCAGGTAAAGACACTGCTTGCAGTGCTGGCATCCCATATGGTTCGGGTCCCAGCTGCTTCCAATCCAGCTCTCTGCTATGGCCTGGGAAAGCAGTAGAAGTCCTTGGGCTCCTGCACCTGCGTGGGAGACCCGGAAGAAGCTCCTGGCTCCTGGCTTTGGATTGGCGCAGCTCTGGCCGTTGCAGCCATTTGGGGAGTGAACCAGCAGATGGAAGATTCTCTCTCTCTCGCCTCTCCTCTCCTCGCCTCTCCTCGCCTCTCCTCTGTGTAGCTCTGATTAAAAAGAAAAAGTCAAGGACCAGTTGATGAAGGGCCTGTTGTGCTAAGGAGTGTAAGAGTTGGGATTTCATCTGTAGGCCTTCCTCAGGCTGTCCTGTGAAAACAGTTGCTTAATGAGATGGTAAGTACGTGCTACAGGGCTTGAGGAAACGTTTCTTAGTTAAGTGTTAGGTACACATTGTTGTTATTAGGCTCCTCAAAACGGTGCGTTTTGGAGGGTGGGGTTAGGTGGCTGAGCATTTAGCATTTTCCACACCTGGTGATTGTGGACCAACTTTTTTCCTAAGAGCTAAGGCACACTTGAGGGGAATTGTCCATGTTGAGGAGATACTGATGAGTTTTTAATTTTTTTTAAGATTTATTTATTTATTTGTAAGAGTTAGGGAGAGACAGATCTTCCTTCTGCTAATTCATTCTCCAGTTGGCTAAAAGGAGCCAGACGCTTCATCCGGGTCTCCCATGTGGGTGGCAGAGGCCCAAAATCTTGGGCCATCTTCTGCTTCTTTTCCCTGGCCATTAGCAGGGAGCTGGATCAGAAGTGGAGCAGCTGGGACTGGAACTGCTGCCCACATGGGATGCCAGTGTCACAGGTGGTGGCTTTACCCCCTGTGCCATAATGCCGGCCTTGAGGAGATTCTGATAAGTTTTAGGCCCACAGAGGACACGGTTAGATTCTTCATTGTCAACAAACCCCTGGCAGCAGTGGGAGGAATGTCTTAGAAGACCTGAAACTAGAGTCTTGAGTTGTTGCAGGGGATGCTATTACTGGAGGTCAGAAGAGAAATGATTTGGACTAGGACTGGGCAGATTTTAGAGACATTGAGAAGTTAGTTCCAGTGGAACTATGAAGACTGATCATATCTGGGGTGAGGTTTAGTAAGGTAGAAGGAAGAGTCAAGGATGACTTCCAGGGTTTGGGCGCGTTAGGTACCATTGGTGAGATAAGGGGTGGAGGGTGGAGGAGTGGGTGGCAGGCTCATTCACTCATGAGGGATCACCTGAAGTGTCTCCTATTTCTGAATCCAGTGATGAGCTTTGACTTTTAAAAAAGAATTTGTATTTCAGTTATTTGAAAGGCAGAGAGAGATTCTTTCCATCTGCTAGCTCACTTTCCCCAGATTTCCACAGTTGCCATGGTTGGGCTAGCCTGAAGCCGGGAGCCAGGACTTAAGGTCTTCCACATGTGGCCGGCACCTAAGTACTTGACCGTCCTCACCTGCTGCCTCCCCAGGTGTGCATGAGCAGGAAGCTGGAATCGTGACTGGAACCAGGAGCAAACGCAGGCTCTCCCGCATGAGATGCAGGTGTCCCACGTGGTGTCTCAACCTCCTGTGCCAAATGCCCACTCCTGCTCTCACAAATCCCAGCACACTTTAGAAAATAAATGCACCCTGTGAAAACACGGCTTCTTAATGAGTTCCTGTGTTTGTTATCCTTTCCAGGCAGGGCCTAGTCAGAATGTAGAAGCTGAGTCAATTCCGGATGTTGCAGATGTGGAAGAGGGCATGGGCTTCTGTCCCTCAGAGCCGATGCTGTGCAGCGAAGCCGTGGAGGGGCAGGTGCCACACTCGCTGGAGGCCCTGCATCAGTCGGCTGACTGCTCGAACGCCAACGATGCCTTGATCGTGTTGCTGCATCTTCTCATGTTGGAGTCAGGGTACATACCTCAGGTAAGGACGCCAGACGAGGAGGGACGTCCTGCCGCGGCCTATCAGTAAGGACCACTAGGGTGTTCTAGGCTAATTTCCTAAGTGTGGTTGGAAGTTGAACATAAGGTGCTGAACGCAGTGATGAGCTCCAGTAGGCACTCGGGACTGATCCCTCTCATCCTGGTTTCTCCTCCACTTCCTTGGTCAGTGTTAAGTTCATGTTACAGAGGTGATGGCAGCTGTGGTTAAAACGCAAAACCAAACCAGGCACAAGATGATATGTGATGGCAGGAATGTACAGTGTGGCTAACGGGGATGAAGTGGGCATGACTCTAGTTGTTTTTCATGTTGATGTCTCTGGAATGCCAGTAACTTCATAAGACTCGGTTAGGAAGAGGGACAGAGCACTTACACTGCCGCTGCTTATCGTCTTGTACTCCATCTTCTGTTTCCTAAGTGTCCACCAGTGTCAGGTACAGTGCTTTGTCCCTGCTTGCAGCTTGCGTGGCTATGTGAACGGTCCCTGCTGTCCGCCTGCCCATAGTCTGGCAGTGGCAGCAATAGACTAGCATATAACCGCATTGGTTAAGTCTGGGAGATGCAGGTGTACACAGGATGCCAGAGCTTCAGGGGAGAATGCTGAGAGTGGAGCCTCTCAAAGCACGTAGGAAAGCTGAGAGCTCTTAGTGAAATGCAGATTCTGATTGGGTGACTAGGAAGGAGCTGGAGCTTCCGTGTCCTCCTTCCCATCCCATGCTGCTGGCCTGTGGCCTGTGTTACAAGTTACAGAGATGTAGTCGCTCAGGATCACCACACCCCTGCAGCACGCTGTGTGCCGAGCCAGGAGTTAGGGTATGGAAATACAGTCACGCACCACATAAGGATACTTAGGTCAGTGGTGGACCACTTATATGATGGTGGTCCCACAACATTATACTGCTTTGTGACATTGCCGCCGTCTTAGTTTCTGTAAGTACACTCTTAGGACGTTTGCACCGTGGTGAAATTGCCTAACAACCTTGTTCTCAGAACGTATGCCCTCATTCAGTGATGGGTGACGCTATTGGCACACTCCTTGTCCTTAAGGAGTCCATAAGCTAGAGAGAGACAAAAGGATAATTACAATGTCTAAATAACATAATAGAAGTATATAGCCATAATAATATAAACAATGTAAGGGGATGAAAGGGAATGACAGCTTTCTTTTGAAAAAGGTTACAAAGAAAGTGATAGTCGAGCTGGAGTTTTGAATAATCATGTGGCTTTGCTAGGCTGACAAGTAGATCTTTAAGAAAAAAAATCACTCTTTTTCTTAAGATTGATTTATTTAGAGAGGAAGAGATAAGTAGATAGAGATCTTCTATCTGCTGAGTCACTCCTCAAATGGCCTCAGTGGCCAGGGTGGGCCAGGCTGAAGTCAGGAGCCAGGACCTCCAGGTCTCCCATGTCGTGGTAGGGGCCCAAGCACTTGGGCCATTTTCTGCTGCTTTTCTGGGCCCATTAGCAGGGATCTGAATCAGAATTGGAGCAGCTGGGTCTCAAACTGGTGTCCATATGGGATGTTGGTGCTGCAGATGGCGGCTTAACCCTCTGCGCCACAGCACTGACCCATCAATCCCTATTTCTATGACAATATTTTATCTATTTGGAACAAAACTTTGATAGCCAAATATTACAATATATTATTCTCCATAAATCGCAATATTAATTATTTGGTGCCCTTTATTAAGGGGACCATACGGAGTGCTTATTTCTAAACAAGTTAGGTGGCTTCTGGATTTTTAACCTTTTTGAGAGTATTAGCTTTCTTCACCCTGTGTTTTGCTTTCATGTCATCCTCAGGGGACCGAAGCCAAAGCCCTGTCCATGCCGGAGCAGTGGAAGGCGAGTGGTGTGTACAAGTTGCGGTACACGCATCCCCTCTGTGAGGGAGGCTCTGCTGCGCTCACCTGCGTGCCTCTGGGAAACCTCGTCGTCGTGAACGGTACTAGGGCGGCGTGGTCCTGGCTGTTGGTTTATGAATACTGTTCTCTTCCAAGTGTTTTATACTTCACTGATTAGCTATCATGATATAGTTGTGATCTTTCTCAATTTTATCTAATTCCTAGGCCACTGACACAATCCCTGCTAGTGTGTATCTTGGAGGATTTTAGAAAATGAGGTTATGTTGAGGCCAGTAGCCTTCATTCTTGGGATAGCCCTGCTATTCGATGTCTTTTTATAAAAAGTTTCTTATGGGATTAGCTTTGTGGCACAGTGGGTTAAGCCTGTTTCGTGATGCAGGCATCCCATAGCAGAGTGCCAGTTGGAGTCCTTGCTCCTCCACCTCTGATTCAGCTTCCTGATAATGTACCTGGGAAGGCCGTGGAAGATGGCCCTACTACTTGGGCCCTGCCACCCAATGTGGGAGACAAGGATGGTGTTCCTGGCTCCTGGCTTTGGCTTTGCCTAGTCCTGGTGATTGTGGCCATTTGTGAAGTAAACCAGCTGGTGGAAGATCTCTTTCTGTCTCTCCGTGTCTTTGTCTTTCCCTCTCTGTCACTCTGCCTTTCAAATTAAAAAAGATATGGGGCTGGCGTTGTGGTGCAGCAGGTTAGCACCCTGGCCTGAAGTGCCGGCATCCTATATGGACATTGGTTGAAGATCTGGCTGCTCTACTTGCGATCCAGCTCTCTGCTATGGCCTGGGAAAGCAGTACAGGATGGCCCAAGTCCTTGGGCCCCAGCAAACACGTGGGAGACCCAGAAGAAGCTCCTGGCTCCTGGCTTCCGATCGGCGCAGCTCCGGCTGTTGCAGCCAGTTGGGGAGTGAACCATCGGATGGACGACCTCTCTCTCTCTCTCTCTGTTTACCTCTCCTCTCTCTGTGTAACTCTGATTTTCAAATAAATAAATAAATCTTTAAAAAAATAAAATAAAATACAATAAATCAATCAAAGGAGACAGAGATTAAACAGAGATCTGACATCTGATTCACTCCCTAAATGCCTGCAACAGGCAAGACTGGGTCAGGCTGAGGCCTGCACTAGAAACTCAGTCCAGCCTCCCAGGTAGCTGGCGGGGACCCAGCCACTTGAGCCATCAGCTGTTGCCTCCCGGCTGTGTATGAGTAGGAAGCTGGAATTGGGAGTGAAGCTGGGACCTCGGCTCAGACATTCCTGTGTGGGATACAGGTGACTCAAGTGGTGTCTTAACTGCTGTACCAAACAGCCGGCCCTCTTGGTGTCATAGCCTCTGTCATGTTCTGCTCTAGGGGCATTGTGCTCACAGGGGAGAAACAGGTCTGTCACACACACATTCTCTGAAGAATACCTTTTTTATACCTGTTGTAGGTAGCTTTTTTTTTTTTTTTTTACTTTAATATTTATTTTCTTATTTGAAAGGCAGAGAGATCGAGAAAGAGCTTTCATGTGCTGCCCCCTTCCCCACGTGCTGACAGAGTCTGGGCCTTGACTCAATCCAGGTGGCAGGAACCCCATTACTTGAGCCTTCACTGCTGCCTCCCAGGGCGTGTGTTAGCAGGAAACTGGAGCCAGGACTGGGATGTGGGCATCCTTAGTTGCTGGACTAAACCCTGCCGTGGACTGAACATCGGTCCATTGAATTGAGAGAAATGGTGCTGTGCAAGTCAGCCAGGGTCTCTTCAAACAAGGGAGGACTCATGACCAAGGGTTAAATAAAACATAAATGGAGTGTTTAGTGACTTCATTAGAAATAATGATTTTATTGTGTTTGGTTGCCTCCTGTTAACCTTGTTGCATGTCTTTCAGTTATTAGTAAGCTGCCACTATTAGTACTTCTAGATTTTATATAAAAGTGCTTGCTGTAATTCATTTTTTTAAAAAAAATAACTCGTAACTCAGATTAATGTTTGGGAAAGCCCTGTCTACATATGGCTCCAAAGGAAAGGGACTAAGGGCCATTTTCTCTATTTTATTTATTTAATTTTTTTTTTTTGACAGGCAGAGTTAGACAGTGAGAGAGCGAAACAGAGAAAAAGTCTTCCTTCTGTTGGTTCACCCCCCAAATGGCTGCTACGGCCTGCGTGCCGCGCCGATCCGAAGCCAGGAGCCAGGTGCTTCCTCCTGGTCTCCCATGCGGGTGCAGGGCCCAAGCACTTGGGCCATCCTCCACTGCCTTCCCAGGCTACAGCAGAGAGCTGGACTAGAAGAGGAACAACCGGGACAGAACCAGCGCCCCAACCGGGACTAGAACCCGGAGTGCCAGTGCCACAGGTGGAGGATTAGCCTAGTGAGCCGTGGTGCCATCTATTTAATTTTATTTATTGTTTTTAATTACAGAGAGAGAGCTATCTTTCATTTGCTGTTTCTTTCCCCAAGTGGCCATAATAGCTGGGCTGGGCCAAGCTGAAGCCAGAGCTGGGAGCTTCATTTGGGTCTCCCACATGGGTGCAGGGGCCCATACACTTGAGCCATCCTCTGCTGCTCTCCCGGGTGCATTAGCAGGGAGCTGGTTCAGAAGTGGAGCAGCTACATTTCAAACCGGCACCCGTTTGGGATGCCGGTACTGCAGATGGTGGCTTAACCCACTACGCCCCAGTGCCGGCCCCCGCTGTAATCCTTAAGGGGGGTGTTTCAGAGTGACTTCTTCATGTGATGGGAGGTTTATATTTTGAGCTTGCTATAGGCCCAGAGCCATTTGTTTTGTATAATGGGTCCTTGGTGTACTGGGGACGAGGTATTGCATGCTCAAATTGAGAAAGGAGGGCAACTGGTGACCACGCCCTTGATTATCCTCTGTCTTTTGCTTATTTTCAGCTACTCTAAAAATCAACAATGAGATTAAAAGTGTGAAAAGATTGCAGCTCCTGCCAGAATCTTTTGTTTGCATAGGAGAACCAGGTAATGTAACCCTGATTTAACTTTTAGAATGAAGCTTTGAGAGGTTCACTAACAAGTAAGCCTGAAAGAAAACATTCAAAATACTGAAAGTTTCTAAATGAGATTCATGCAAATTCAAGACAGTGTTGTCTGTTTCAGAATGTGAGGTTTTAATGCTATTGTAATTTGAGGAGTTTGTTCCTTTCCTGTCTTTCTTAGGGTCTTAGCATGCCAAATTATATTTATACTGCATTATGAAATAACACTAGTATGTAATTCAGCATAATCTAATCCTGCTTCATAGTTTCTGTATTAATTTGTGGAGATCTTTATATCATTGTATTCAGCCCATATGGAAAAGATCTGTGTTTTATGGAACTAGTTAAATGCAACATCACTCTTGAAGATTATTGCACTAGGAATATTTGTTTTAATCTATAAAAATTTGACTGGTATTTGATGCAATTTGGAATTACCAAAAGTTGGCATTGTAGGCTGTTTTCTCTCATTCTTTTTTCATTTCGACAGGCAGAGTGGACAGTGAGAGAGAGAGACAGAGAGAAAGGTCTTCCTTTGCCCTTGGTTCACCCTCCAATGGCCGCCGTGGCTGGCATGCTGCGGCTGGCGCATAGCGCTGATCCGAAGGCAGGAGCCAGGTGCTTCTCCTGGTCTCCCATGCGGGTGCAGGGCCCAAGCACTTGGGCCATCCTCCACTGCACTCCCGGGCCACAGCAGAGAGCTGGCCTGGAAGAGGGGAACCGGGACAGAATCCAGTGCCCCGACCGGGACTAGAACCCGGTGTGCCGGCGCCGCAGGCGGAGGATTAGCCTATTGAGCCGCAGCGCCGGCCAGCATGTATGGTTTTGCTTATATTTTATTAAATTATTAATAGATGCAAAAGAGACAGGTTTTTCCTGTTTTCTGACTCAACTCACATTGTGAGAGGCGGAGAGAGGTGGTGGCAGGAGCAGAGACAGGGCAGAGTGTGTTGGCCTTGTGCCGGACATGTGCCCTTGTGTGTTTCTCCATTCACTCCTTACAGCAAATGTAGGAGGCTTCTTCAGCCAGACAGGAGTGCTGTTGCAGAGAGGGGAGTGGCATTTACTGCAGGGTGTTCTAGGGACGGCTGCGTGCATCTAGATCATTGCTTTGAAGGCCTAGGGATTTGTTAGTTCCCAGGGAAAATCAGACCCTGAGATGCTGACTTATACTAGACCTGCTAAAGGAGACAGCAGAGCATACATTTATAATGGTCTCTGGGCATAGAATCAGAACGTGGAATATTCAGTATCAGACTAGACTACATTTCTCACTCTTTTCTTTTTTAGAGTTGTCTGTGTGAACAAAAGTCTACCCTGCTGTGGCTTAGTCCCTGCTCTGTTCAGCTGTCAGCCCGCTGTCTCTCTTTTCAGCAATATCAAATCAGATGCTCCTTTCCCTGGGCAAGGAAATCCAAAGTTTATTACCTTTGCCAAAGACAGAAATGTTGGGGAGCTTCATGGCAAAACCGTTGCCACCGGCATCCCTCACATGTGTCACATTGAAGGAGCCAGCATAGCTGTCCCTGTGGGCGATGACACCATGCAGCCGAGACTGGTCCCACCGACCACTCTGTGTGCATCGCCTGGGTCAGATTGGATAGAGCTGGTTACCCTGACAGTGTCGTTCTCCTCAGTGAGAGGATCTGGCCCGCGGTGGTGCGAGCACCCTGAGTCACCAGGGTGGGGCTCCCTCTGTCCCACAGTCGTCTTCCTTCCATTGCACCACTGGTCCTTTGTCTCTCCTGCTGTGCTGTGGTGTGGTGAGCCGCAAAGTGGCCCTTGGTGTCACAGACTGGGCAGAAGTGCTGCCCTTTCTTCTCGGCACTGATGGCGTCCAGGACTGCGCAGGGTGTGACCTCCATGGAGCACTGCCTCCACACCTTCCTGACCGCGTCTCCAGGCCGTGCGTTCTGGAGCCTGTCCTCGGTCACAAGGGGAGCCTGTCCTCGGCTGGGGGACTGAGGTATACACACACCTGTCATGTGTTGAGCACCTTGTGCTTTGGTGTGGGAACTTGCTTCAGGAGCCTCTTGGGGCCCTGGCTCACAGCAAAGCACTGTCTCTCAGTGGTGTTTTTGTCACGCCCCTAAAGAGCCTTTGCAGTTTTTCCCCCCTAATTGGTCTTCCTCGTGAAATTTTAAGGCCAGAAATATACTGCGTATTTATTGAAATACTGTGACCCTTTGGAGGATCACACACCAAAGTAGGATATGTTTTGCCCACCAAGAACGAGTTTTTGTTTTGTTAGGGGTGATTTTGCCTCTGACTCATGAATCTGGAAAGATAGTCTTATTTTTAGATCAAGCGAACTTCAAGTTCTTTGGCCACAACACTCAGTGTTCATCCCACACTAGAGAGGACCTTGCTGTGCAGAATAGAAAATGCTTTCCATTTACAGAAGAAAAGTGGGGTTTTTTTGTTGTTTGCTTGTCAGTACATTTATTTGAGATTCAGAGAAATAGCAGGAGTTACTGTCTGCTGGCTCAAGCCCCAAATGCACACAGGGGTCAGGGCTGGGCCACACTGAAGCCAGGAGCCAAGAGCCAGGAATTCAATCCAGGTCTCCCGTGTGGGTAGCAGGGACTTAAGCACTTGAACTATTACCTCCCGAGGTGCAAACTAGGAGTGGAGCCAGGACTTGAACCCAGGTACTCCAGTGTGGGCATCCCAACAGGGCATCTTAACCACTAGGCCAATGCCCGCCCCAGCAGTAGAGGCCTTTTGTCAATATTAGAGTTCTGCCAACAGTTCTAGAGGAGTTTAAATTACCTCGGGGTCACAGAGCTACTCAGCGGTGGAACTGAGGATTTGAATAGATTGGTCAGATTAGCCTAGCCTTGGAGAAACAACTTCTGTAAGGATGGAGCTCAGATTCCTAGTCTTTATCTGGTTTCTCTTAAATAAGAAAGAAGCAAGCAAAAGGGAAGTAAGTTAACATTGTTATATGATGAACTTGTGGGCTGTATTTTAATTATTTCTAATGAATTTTTATGTTGGGTAGGAATATGCTGCTCCTTTGGCAAGTCATTTTAGTGAATTTTTACTGTAGCTTGTGGTGTATGTACCCTAGTAACTAACTCGGTACTGTTGTTTATCCTTTATTTATAAGTTTCTCATTAAATACTTACATAATAGATTGATGAAGAAGACCAATATAGAGAATATCAGTTTTCACATATGAGCAAAGGCTTCTTTTTAAAAAAATGGTGTGTTGACATTATATTTCAACTCAAGATTGCAAATTTACATACCAGAAATTTAGAATTTAGCTGCCTGTATCTCCTTGTTCTTATCTGTCAAGTTATAATGAGTGTACTACTTGGAGCAAGCATAAACTTAACTACTGATGTACCAGGGACTGTACATGGAGCCTTAAGTTTTAACAACTCTTCCCTGGCGTAGTGGTGATGTCTCCTTTAAACAGGTGAGCAAACAGGTGAGGGTCAGGGTGGGGCAATTAATTTGCCAAGGTTACAGACTCCGTGAACGGCAGAACTAAAGTGCGATTTATCGCTGTAACCCCACATGAATCTCCTGAGATATTAAAACATACCCGCTCTGATTCAGCTGGCCTGTGGTGGGTGTGAGATTCGGTTTCTCTGAAGGATTCCTGCCTCTGTCAGTTCTGGTGATCTGCAGGAGACGTTGTGAGTAGCAGCGTAGTGGCTCTGAATGAGTGTGGAGCCAGACAGCTTTGTACCTGGCTCTGCTGCTCACTGTGGTGCCTCGGAAGGCTCTGTGTGCCTTGTCCTGTTTTTAAAATGGGAATTGTAGTATCTTAATTTTCTATAAGGCAGGATGGCTGATATGAGAGAAGGCTTGAAAAATGCTTGACCTAGTTGCTAATCCATGGTAACCATGTAGAAAATATGCTCGTATGTTAGGATCGAAGTGCCATAGAAGCGGTTCCCCACCCTCTCCCAGCGCCACGAGAGATTGGTAGAGATGCAGTACAGTTTTGTCTTCTGAATGAATCACACACAACAGTTTTTTCTATAGCTGTAGCCTCTGAGATGTATAGGTTATATAGTTGTATAACTTTATTATTAACTTCATCCTGTGGAATTTTAGCTTCACATCTGAGGTTTAGTTTCATCAGTTGTGTGCCGTACCTCTTCCCCTGCTAGGGACTTTGGTTCACATCTATCTCTGTAGGAATTATTTGTGAATTGGTTTGGCTGAAATAGAAGACAGATGTCATTTCAAGTTACTCAGCTTGATTTTGTGTTTTATTTAAAAATATTCCAGGGGAAAATGCAGCCAAGATATACAGAGATCTTCCGAAGCTCTCCCGCCTCTTCAAAGACCAGCTGGTGTATCCTCTTCTGGCTTTTACTCGGCAAGGTAAGGGATGATAATTTTAATAGGTTGAATGGTGGTAAAGAGCAATAAGTGTACTTAGTACAGGGACATTCAGAAAGTTTGTGGGAAATGTACAATATGAAAAACTTATGCACGGATTTCAAATTTTTTGGCTTCAAAATAAACTCACCTTTTAATTCCATTTTCCACAAACGTTTTGAAGTCCTCTTGTGTGTTTGGTGACTCTGTGATACCTGACTTTCTTCTTTTCTCCTCCTAGTGAAATTCTCTTCTTAAAACTAAGCTTAAGGTCGGCGCCGCGGCTCACTAGGCTAATCCTCCGCCTTGTGGCGCTGGCACACCGGGTTCTAGTCCCGGTCGGGGCACTGGATTCTGTCCCGGTTGCCCCTCTTCCAGGCCAGCTCTCTGCTGTGGCCCGGGAGTGCAGTGGAGGATGGCCCAAGTGCTTGGGCCCTGCACCCACACGGGAGACCAGGAGAGGCTCCTGGCTTCGGATCAGTGCTATGTGCCGGTCGCAGCGTGCCGGCCACAGCGGCCATTGGAGGGTGAACCAAGGGCAAAGGAAGACCTTTCTCTCTGTCTCTCTCTCTCACTGTCCACTCTGCCTGTCAAAAAAAAAACAAAAAAACAAAAAAACAAAAAAAAACAAAAAAACAAAAAAAAACAAAAAAAAAACTAAGCTTAAACGTCAATCCCTTACATGTTCCTTTATGTATTTCCATAGCCTTTTGTGTGTATCTTTGTTACAGGCTTTTCCCAGGGTATCGTAATTGTTGACATGATTTCTTTGAACCTAAGGTTCAAACCTAAGCTAGGGAGTATGTGTTATTTAATTTTGTGTTCTTGTGGTCTAGTACACAAGTCTGGCCCATAAATAATGTTGAAACTATAGATTGAGTCTAAGTTGTTTTTTTTTTTGTTTTTGTTTTTGTTTTTTAATTTATTTGAGAGACCAGGACTGCTTTCCCAGGTGCTACAGCAGGGAGCTGAGTGGGAAGTGGAGCAGCTGGGACTGGAACTGGTGTTCGTATGGGACGCTGATGTTGCAGGCTTTGGCTTAACCCACTGTACCACAATGCCAACCCCCAAAAGAATTTTTATTTGACTTTGGAGCATATTCATTTTTTCTTTTCTTGGTTTTGCTTCTGAATTTATTTATATCCCTTTTCTTCAACCTGATTGACATCAAATAACAGTGCTTGCAAATAGCACTGCTTGTGCCAAACATTATTCTAATCACTAAGTGTATTAGCACATATTTTTGTTTTCACAACAACTCAGTGTGGTAGGTGGTATGTAATGTTATTTGATCCATTTTACAGATGAGGAAATTGAATTAGAGTTTTTTCTGAAGGCGCTCAGCTATGTGGCAGCTCTGGGAACCAGTTATAAAACCAGTGGATTTATCCATTTTCTGTAGTAGAACAGAGAAATGTTGTTGCATTGAGTATCGTTTGAAACAAAATGCCATTGGCTAGTATTTAGCTGTTGTCATCGTTATTTATTTGATCTGTATTATAGTGTGTTTGTGTCTCTACTAAAACATAAGGGGAATAAGGGTGGAGTTGTCTGTCAGCCTGAGGGCCAAAACTGTTGTCATTCAGTGTCCTTGTCGGCTGGGACCGCTGTCTCATTTGTCACCTCTTTAGATAGGAACAGGTGACCGCTTTTGTTCACTGTGAGGAGAAGCTGCTGCTTCACTCAGGAATCCCTGATTTTCTCTCTTTCCCACTCCAGCCCTGAACCTGCCGGACGTGTTTGGGTTGGTGGTCCTCCCGCTGGAGCTGAAACTGCGCATCTTCCGACTTCTGGATGTTCGTTCCGTCCTGTCTTTGTCCGCAGTTTGTCACGATCTCTTCATTGCTTCAAATGACCCACTGCTGTGGAGGTGTTTGTATCTGCGGGACTTCCGAGGTGATGTCCATCATGACAAGTTAGCAAGGAACGGGCTTTTTCTGACTGATTTTAATGACTCATCTGCCAGAAGTTTTCAGTTGTAGGCATTTTTCTCTTTTTAGACTTGCAGATGATCACAATGAATAGCTTAGAGGGCAGAGATTCTAAGCTCCATGTACCTCTGGAGGCCCCATTCATTCTTGGGTTCTTTGCAACACAAATAGCTCACTAGACTAAGTAGATGATTTCAGGATAGAAAAATGCAAAGGTAGGTTTGTCCCTTCTCTGAATGCCACCCTGAGTCTCGGGATTTTCTTGGTGAGAGCAGTCTGTGGGTTAAAGCAGTCTTGCTTCCTGGTGGCCTGGTGCTAGGGCAGCTTCGCTGCTGTATGCTCATCTGGTGGGGACCTGGGGCCCCCTACAGCAGTGGTGCCAGCAGAACCTGGGCGCCAGGATTTCCAGACCAGAGGGCAAAAGCTTGGCTGTGGGGCTTTCTTTCCTGCTGCCATCGTCTTCCTACGTATCAGTGTTTTTCGAACTGTTTGAGTGGGTCGTGAAATCATCTTAATAGGTCATTTTATAAGGAAACAACAAAACAAAAAACTCCACAACTGAGAAGTCAGCTTATTTTATAAATAGTCTCCACATTTATAAAATAGAAGTAAATTACTGTTTCTGTTAGGTGTATACTGTGTTGTAGTATAAAATACTTGTAGTTTACTCAAAAAAGTTTTGAAGTTTGGTAATGCTATACATCTATCATAGTAGCATACCACCTTAACAATTATAAGGACCAAACAATTGTCCCTTTCCTTTTTTGTTTTTACAGTAGAATAACATGTTGAGTCATTTGGATTATTAAATTTTTTTTCTTTTGAAACTTTAAAATGTGTGAACGACCTGGTTTGTTCCTTTTTCTTCTCCTTGATTCCTGAGGTCCTCATTCTACTTTACTTATGTCCCGAATCCAGAGTTTAAAATGTTAATTTTGTCACAATTGGCAGCAAGTGTCTTCTCAAAAAATTAAAAAATATAATTAAACAAAAGTAAAGAGAGCGAGAGATCCAGAGTGGCCGGCACACACTGAAGGACTGGCAGAGAAAGCAGGCTGCCACAGAGACCCGCCTAAAATGAGCAAGTGCCTTTTCACCTGGGTTCCGTTCAGGAATTGAGGTTTAAAGCAGTCCATCTCTATTTCACTTCAGGTTGAGGTCCACAAGCTCATTTGTGAGACGAGTGTTCGCATTTTGTAGTGAATTTTCCCCTGGATAGAATGTTACGGGGCAGGAGCTTGTAGCGTCCCAACTTACCCTTGCTGATGTAGTTACTTGTGGGTAAGACATCTCCATCTTTTGCCCAAACTCTTCATTAGGCTTTATGTTGATTGGGTTCCTCTTTCCTCATTCCACACATTTCAAATGAAGAATTATACTGAAAAATGCTTAGAGCTGGCCATACTTCTGATAGTTGAAGCATGCAGTACATGGCTTTCAGGAAGTAACCTAAATATGGAGGAAAGCCCTGGGTCAGCTTGGCCTCCAGTAACGACCGTGCTCTGACGCGGACTCTCAGAGGTTGTCACCCAGTTTGGAGTAATTTGAGACATGATTTTAGAAGCAGTTGACACGGGGCTGGCACTGTGGCGTAGGTTAAGCCTCCGCCTGCAGCGCCGGCATCCTAAACGAGTGCCGGTTTGAGTCCCATCTGCTCCACTTCCGATCCAGCTCCCTGCATACAGTGGAGGATGTCCCAGGTGCTTGGGCCCCTGCACCCACATGGAAGACCTAGAGGAGGCTCCTGGCTCCTGGCTTCAGCTTGGCCCAGCCCCTGCCTTTGTGACCATTTGAGGAGTGAACCAGTAGAGGGAAGATGATCTCTCTCTCTCTCCCCCCCTTCCCCCCTCCCCCCTCCCCCTCTCCCCCTTTCCCCCTCTCCCCCTCTCCCCCTCTTCCCCTCTTCCCCTCTTCCCCCCCGCCTCTCATTCCCCCCCTTCTCTTTCTGTACTTTTACCTTTTAAATGAATAAATAACAAATCTTTAAAAAAAAGGCAGCAGCTGACATGCATGCATGAGATGAAGGTGGATCAGGGACCAGTTAGTGCAGCCGTATATCCTGCTCTCATCCTTTAGGGACCACCACATTGATTACTGTGTAACACAGGATAGCAATGGTCACCCTGGACCATCCAGAGAAGGTTTGAATTAGATTCAAGAAAGTACAGATGATACAGTGTGTGTTATACAAACAATGCATGCTCCTTTTTGTGGTTAATGAGTAAGTTTCCAACCTCATTGGGTTAATGCTGGATGAATGAAATGTTTGTTAATCCTTATTTTTTTTGTTTTGTTTTTTTTTTTTTTGAAGATGGTACTGTCAGAATACGAGATACAGATTGGAAAGAAGTAAGTATTTGTAAATTTTATGGCTAAAGTTCATAGCAGAAATAACTGGTGAATTGGTATATTAAAGACAAATTTTTTACTTTTGTTATGATGTAGTGAAATATTCTTTCATTAGATTTAGTGTTAAATGAAAGTAGTTTCGACTTTAGATTTAGTCTTTATTTTCTTATAATTACACAGGAGCAACTAATGATTGTTTCTCTTCAATATGAAGTGTTCTTTCTTGTTCTTCTCTTGTTGTAAAAAATATCGGAGTGTGTTGTCTTTGTGCTGGAGTTGTTTTCAGCGATTTGACCAGGTCACATAGCACACGAAGGAAGAAATTGTTTTATTTACAGATGACTGCTGTAAAAGATACCAGTTCACTAACTGAAAGGCTAGAGAAGAGTAAAATTCAATGAAGTAATACAAATCAGACTGTACTTTTTTTGTGCTATTTTTTAAGAATTTGTCCCATTGTCTAAAACAGGAATTGAGTTTTATTTTAAACTGAGATATAGTAGAACAATACTTCGAGTGAAAAAAAGAATTTCAGTGCTGCCCCGCCTTCCCTAGCTGAGCTCTGTATTTTATGATCCGATATTTTCAGTGAATGTTTACATTTTTCACTTTGAAAAGAGGCTGATGTACACCAGCGTATCCGTTTGGGAGCTCGGGATGACGGCTGTGAAAGCCCATGGCATGCAGTGCTCCTCTCTGGGGTCTTTTGTTACTTCAGATTAGCACAGTTGCTCACGTGCAACGTGGTTACAGAACAGTTTACTTGGCCCTGCACTTGGAGCTGCTGCTAGAAATTGGCCACAGTTCCCTTCTGTGCAGTGCTAGAGCGGAGAGAAGGGAGAGGCATCGGTGGGTGAGTCCTGTTAGAGCACATTCGGACCTTTGGAAGCCTCTGACTCACCTCCCAGGTCTTGTTCTTTCCCCTGCAGCTGTACAGGAAGAAGCACATTCAAAGGAAAGAAGCCCAGAGAGGGCGGTACGTGATGTTCCTGCCGTCATCCCCCCACCCCATCCCGTTCTACCCCAACCCCTTGCACCCCAGACCCTTTCCTGCCGGCTCCCTTCTTCCTCCGGGGATCATCGGTGGTGCATACGACCAAAGACCAACACTTCCCTACGTTGGAGATCCCATCAATTCACTCATCCCTGGGCCTGGGGAGACACCTGGCCAGTTCCCTCCACTCAGACCGCGATTTGATCCAGTTGGCCCACTTCCGGGACCCAACCCCATCTTACCAGGGCGAGGTGGCCCCAGTGACAGATTTCCCTTCAGACCCGGCAGGGGTCGGTCCACTGACAGCCGTCTGCCATTCATGTGATTGCTTTATAATCTCACATGTGGAGCCCGATTGGTGTTTTGGCTTGTTAGAACGACAGGCGTCATCTCCTTGGGGTGCTGATGTCTAGTGGTAGTGTTTGCACTCCCAGAAACCTCTCAGTAGATGCGTTTCTAGCTCCAGACATGGCGTGGCCCGCGACTTATTCTGCAGCAGGGTTGACCTTGGGGATAGTTGGCTCCTGAGTTCCCTGCTCTGGATTCTCCAGTAGACTGAGGTTGTATATGGATGATGTCGTGCACCGGATTAAAAAGAAATGTAAACTGCACAACAGCTTTGACTTTTATTACAGAAAGATTTGATTCACGCTGCTACTTGAACATTTCAAATGATCAGACCACCTACTGGGTGTAGGTAGATTATTATTACAGGGATGTCCTGGGTTTTACTGTTTAAAATTTTTGTTTATTGGCCGGCGCCGCGGCTCACTAGGCTAATCCTCCGTCTGCGGTGCCAGCACCCTGGGTTCTAGTCCCGGTTGGGGCACTGGATTCTGTCCCGGTTGCTCCTCTTCCAGTCCAGCTCTCTGCTGTGGCCCAGAAGGGCAGTGAAGGATGGCCCAAGTGCTTGGGCCCTGCACCCGCATGGGAGACCAGGAGGAAGCACCTGGCTCCTGGCTTCAGATTGGCACAGCGTGCCGGCTGTAGTGGCCATTTGGGGGGTGAACCAACGGAAGGAAGACCTTTCTGTCTCTGTCTCTCTCTCTCACTGTCTAACTATGCCTGTCAAAAAAAATTTTTTTTTGTTTATTGGCAACGGAGAGAGAGAGGGAGGGGGAGAGGTGGGGAGAGAGAGAGAGAGAGGAGAGAAAGGGAGAACACTCATTCCCATCTACTGGTTGTTGTCCCAAATGCCTGCAATGATTGTGGCTGGGCCGGGGGAAGCCAGGATCCAGGAATCTAATCCAAGTCTCCCATGTGAGTGGCAGGAACGCAGTTATTTGTGCCATCACTGCTGCCGCCCAGGGTGCATATTAGCAGGAAGGCGGAGTCAGGAGCAGAGCCAGGACTTGATTCAGGGATTCAGGTGTGAGATGTGGGCATCCCAAGTGGCACCTTAACCACTGGGCCAAATGCCTACCCCTGGGTTTTATTTTTGTTTCTTTTTATGGCATTCTTATCTTCCAATGAAGTATTTATAAAATGAATAAAAGCAGAGCTGATTCGGTTGAACTCGACTCAGGGTGAGTGCTTTGCCACCACCCCATCCCTCTTGAGTTCTTGGCTTCCTCAGCAGAACTCCAGACCTCTGAAGCAGCATGTTTGACAAGCATCCGGGGTTTTGACTCCTGCTGGGGCGAGCTGGTTAGGATTTTTTCCCTCTCGCGTCATGAACACTTGGTGCCTAATCTGTAATCTAACTAGAAGATATTCTCTAACAACAATTTTTACTTTGAGTGCTGCTCAGGTACTTGTTCTTCAAAGATAACTGTCTGAGTCGGAGAATATTTTGCTTTAAAGACATAGTACACTCAGGGCCGGTGCTACGGTATAGCGGATAAAGCCACCGTCTGCAGTGCCGGCATCCCATATGGGCTCTGGTTGGAGTCCCAGCTACCCCACTTCCAATCCAGCTCTCTGCTCTGGCCTGGGAAAGCAGTAGAAGATGGCCCAAGTTCTTGGGCCCCTGTACCTATGTAGGAGACCCAAAAGATGCTCCTGGCTTTGGAACGACCCAGCTCCAGCTCAAAGCCATTTGGGGAGTGAACCAGCAGATAGAAGACCTTTCTCTCTCTCCCTGCTTCTGCCTTGCTGTAATTCTGCCTTTCAAATAAAATAAATGAATCTTTAAAAAAAATTTATCCTTAAAAAAGACAACACAAAATTCAAGATTGATTTATTTTTCTATGACAAGGAAGAGGCCAAACACAAATGACTTGTCATACAAACAACTGTGGAAACATGCTAGAAAAAAAAACCTGAATCACAACAGAGGAATAAAATGATCAGCATCTGCAGAAAATATTTAGGAATATTGCCAGTGTCGTCCTGCTTTTTAAAAAATTGTTTTGCATATAAGGAAATGGCTTGGAATGTATGTACTGCAAGAATATTTCAAGTTCTATATACAGGTGTTTGTTTTGTTTTGCTACACATGTATGCTGAGTCTTTTCCATCACAGTGAAGAAAGTTTAGTCAACAACGTGATTTTCCAGAGGCCAATATCACTTTTAGTAGCTTTAATGTGTAGGTAGAGGATTGGGGCTTTTGACATTTTTCCATGGTATTATAATGTCGAAACTATAGGCCAGCCTTTTAAAAACAAGTGCGCACAGATTGCCATATGGCTTTGATTGGGACTGGCTAATGGGGTTGCCCTGAAGCTTTGATGGGTCCAAACAGATCCTAGTTGTCATATGTTCTCTGTGGCCTTGCAGTGTTGGGTTGCACTGTGCAGTGTGTAGGGGGTGGAGCATGGGCGGACATGACCAAAAGCACCAAATACTATGCAACGGTGAGTTCAGAAAGCAGTCAGTTTTGAATGGGCCTGAGGAGGTCCATGATGGTGCTGGTGTCCCGTGGATACACGTGCTGCTTTTCAGCCTCGCCTCAGACTTCCTGGCAGGTGTTAGAATTCTCTTAGCTTAGGATTTTGGTGGTGTGACTTAAGCCTAAATTTGCACACCTTTATAATAAACCTTTATAATCACCCTCAGAGCTTTCCCTCTTGAATAATTAGAAGCTTGTAAAGTCTTACATTCTTGTGTTCTGTTGAGGCTGGAACTTTATGTATTGCTGGTGTGTAATGAGAACATTGTGGCTTAGCCATAGCCTGTTCACTGCGTAACATTGTCTTGACGCATCACAGTGGAGGCTAAGACAGTGGAGTCATGGCAAGCTTTTCACTAAGACACACATCTGCAGACAGCATGGGTTTGGGGCCTTAATGACTTTCTGTGGCCCCTTATTTTCCCCTATATTTTTATTAACAGGCGCTTGTCCCTCACCCCGACTTATAAGTGAAATACAGCTTCATAAATGAAGATAGTAATGAAAGATTTGACGTGGCTGGCAGGCAAATCATGGGAGGTATCCTTTCTTTCCAACTTGAGGTTTTGTAGACCGCAGCGTGAAATTCGTGCGGAATTCCCACCTCTCTGACTCCTGCTTGGCTCTTTGCAATTCCTGAGGCCACCACTCAGCTTCGTACGTCTGATTCTCCCTGCTCTGAGACAGCTGGATGTTCCTCCCTTCACCCCTACACATGGCCCAGCACCAGGCCTTGCCTTTCTCTTACCCTAGGTAGTAGCTGGCTGATTACGGAGCCTGCAAAGGAGCAGGGCAGGCCTCTGTTTCCTGCTGGGCCATGAGCGGTGGGGAGGCCCCCCTGGGATTGTCTCCAGTTGCCATTGGGAGAGGTGGAGCAGCTAAGATTATCCACAAATAAATAAAAACTTAATTTTAACTAAGTCTCTCCTGGGATTCCCCAGTGGCTTGTAGCTCTTACGTTTCTGCTACTCCACAGCAAAAAGAACTAAAATGTTCACCGGGTGGCAAGGGAATGCTCGCTGGCCTTAGATTCAGTGAAAGACCAGGGCGAGCAGACGCTTACATGAGAGAGCGCAGAAAGAAAATTAGGACCAATCAGCAGGAAAGCAAAGATGCTGAGGCTTTAAGGGCTCGAAGCATTCCTGTCTACACGCACTTGTGTAGCTTTGGATTGATTTCCCTTAAAGGAATGCCTCCCTAATCCAACACAGTATTTCCCAGCCGTTTTCATGTTCTCTTGATCTGACAGTTGCGACTGTGTCCTTTACGTGCTGTGTTGGACTGGCTTGCTGCCCAGCCTGCCAATTTGTCTCCCGCAGAAGCTAAGGTGCTGCCTTCTATTAGAGTCTAAACGTGACCCTGAAACCCGTCATTTAGTGCCCACTTGGGAGTCTGGGACAGCCCTTGACAACTTGTCCATGTGGCTAGGAACCAGCCAGCTCTAGGATGAAGAAAAGCAGGAGACGTGTGTGAAAGTGCTCTCGGGCAGTGAGCTGCCTCTCCAGGATGGGTTACCACTGGCAAGGCTGACTTCGCCAGCTTAACCCGCATCCCGTCACCAGTTCTAAATGCACAAAACAAGCCACCAGAGAGATTCCTCTGGTCTCCAGTGCTGGGGGAGGGGTGGGGACAGGGTCCTAAAGGACACCGCTGAAGGGTGTGCTGTCATGTGCGGGGGTCTGCTCGGGGTGGCTGTTACGGGACTTCAGAAAGGGTGGGAAAACAGTTCATTCAAAAAGATGTGCATTTTTGGCTCAGGAGTGTTTTTTAAGTCCATGCCTAGGTTTTTTTTTTTTTTTTTCAAATACGCATTTCCATAAACTTTTGAAGACTTTCGACTTTGTACTTTTTGTAAAGGTACTTTGTTTCTACAAGCTCTGAAATTGTCCTGACCAACTGTGTACCCGTCCTGGGCTCAGTCCTGGGCTCGCAGTGTGCCTGCATGTGGGTGGGCTCACGTGCCCTCTCTGCTTACCCCTCCCTTTCAGACTCACGGGTGGTCTCTTTGAGGGGTGGGGGAAAGCGGCTACGCATCTTGTTGATTTGACTCTGTTCTGGGACAAGTGACTTCTTTACACTGATGCTTTGCTTCAGTCTTAACACCCTGCTTAACATCTGATCCCTACTAAGAGGGCCGACCTGGACTGTCTGCAAACACCCACCATGGGCCAGGCCATGGGCTCTGTGCTCTGCTCCCCCCACGCGTGCACAAGATCCTTCCCCCAGCCTGCTTACCCCCCGACTCTCGGGCAGTTTGGAAGAGAAGTTCTAGAAGCGGTTGATGTTCAGGTTTGTGGGGTTTGCGGTTGTATGTGCTCCCATGTGGGTGAAGACCCATCAACCCCTGAAGTCCTGGAAAGGTAGAGGCGTCTGCCTGCCCTGCAGGGACTGAATGTGAGCAGGGGATGTCACAACGCGCAGAACACAGGGCCTTGGTGGCTCAGCAGGGACACAGTGCTGTGTCCCTGGAAGGCTGATGGGAGTATCACACCTGACCAAAGCAGAGTACCACGGGGTACCGCATTTCACCAACGTGTGGTGCCGCAGAATATTAATTGAACCAACATGCAGTACCATCTTTATGCTGGTAGGTGGCAAAGCTGAAGGACGTTTTTTTTCCTGGCTGGTGGAGGTGTTTTAAATCCCTGTTCTTCGTACCCGAACCAAAGGGCTTTTGTTGTGTTCCAGCTTCCCCAAGCCAGCATGGAGGGCAAATGTGAGCTTTCTCAGGGTCAGAGTTGTGAAACAAAGCACAAAACAACCAACATAACCTTTCAGAATCCATGACTCCCCTCGCCCCTTTCTGCCCTTTCCCATTTCAAAATGTCACAGTTCTTAAAGGTTACATTTTTGGAAGGAACAGGTGCTAGCATATGTGAAAAAAAAAAAAAACAAACCCAGTCCATTTTGCAGATCTCTGGTCTCTGGGAGGCTCAGACATTTTTGGCTTCCATATGCAGACATAGATCAAAGGGGAAATGACTTCCACGTGTCAGTTGTAAACTAGTTACACTGGATTTAGCTGTGCATAGTTACAGAAGTCAGGGTGGCTGACCCGGCTTGCACTTGGACTGTGCTGCTGTAGGTGGAATATCTGGGAGGTATTGTCTCAATGCCGAGATGTTTCTCGGGACGAGGGACAGAATAAGGGAAAGTGGGAAAATTTCGTTTATGTGGCCACTGATCATGGAGCCACCAGCTTTGCTCACCAAAGGAGAGGGACCCCAGCTGTGTTGGGGCTCCAGTGTATCCGTATCAGTATTGCTTCTCACTTCCACCCGGCTCAGCCCAGGGCTTTTCTAACCGGCATGCCCCCAGGACATGCGGGGAGGGTGACAGAGCCGTGGCGTCTGCACCCTATGCCCAGAACATCTGACTCCCTCGGTCTGAAAGGAAGCTTCGTCCTCCTTTGTCAACAGCTCTGCACTTGGCCACAGCCCACTCAGAGACCTCCTCCAGGCTGCGTCACTGAGCTGTGTGTGTGTGAGCTGTGCTTTAGGACTGAGAATCAGGTGAACTTGTTGTCAGAGCGCTGGGTGCACAGGTGCCTCCTGTGTCCCGAATCCCCTAAACCATGGAGGCCTTGTGGGGTCACATCCCGGCCCGGAGTCACCGCTCATCCATTCATGCAGACTGCAGCGCAGCACTGTTTTGACAGCCCTGCCCCTGAATATCGGAAGCCAGGTCTAGTTTTTAAAGTGGAAGAAACCAAACTTGGACTCCTGCAGCTCCGTGCTTGATCTTCTAATAGACTCCTTGGTCCTTCCACTGGGGCCACCTCAGCTGCCATTGTCAGGGCAGAAGGGAGGCGCTGGACACCTGCAGGCTCACGGGGCCAGTACTCTGGTTCCCTCAATATGTGACTATGCTCCAGACCCCTAGACTTCTCAAGGCCAGGTGGGGAAGCAGGTGTTCAGAGACCCCCTAGACAGAGTACTGTGACACACATCTGTCCTCAGTGATTAGCCAGGCCTGGGGTGTGTGTGTGTGTGTGTGTGTGTGTGTGTTGGGACTCCCAGGACCCGTGCCTGGAAGACCCATCACGAGACCTTACATTAACCCATCTTTGCGCTCTCTGTGTAATTTTGCAGGACAGCTGTAAAACATACTTGCGTTCCACAGTGCATTTCATCTTGCTGTTTCGTTTCCTTCTGCCCCACCCGGCTTTCTTCTCGAGTTGCCAGGGGTGTGGTGGAACAGTTACGTCAGTGGGACAAGGAGAAAGAAACCCCATTCCACTCCTTACCCTCAGCTGACCTCCTCCCCAAAGCAAGATTAAACGTTTGGACCCCAAGGCCCCTACCTTTGCCCACCCTGGGGGCACAGAAGAATGTGTTGAGTGTGACGCCCACAGAGCAGCAGCTCCAGGTGTCTCGCTGCCCGCTGGGCCATCTCAGCCATTTCTGGGAAGCACACGGCGGCTCCTGTTGCAGTGCATAGGTAGAGCAGTGGGGGAGGTGTTACTGGGCAGAACGATCTGCAGGTGTGCCCGTGGGGGTGCGCCCCTTGACCCTGGATGCACCTGGGCACAGTGACAGAATGAGGGTGGTGGGTTTTGGGGTGCTGGTCAGAGTACCAGGCCCTCACTGGTTCAGCCCTCACCTCACCCCACCCATGTTACTTGCTGCAGGTGCTAGTTACATGCTAACCAGTGTGGAGCCCACCATGCTCAGGATGCCAAATTCTGGCTCTCGGTCCCTGGCAGCTGCACCCATCTAATCCTTCCTGTGCCATGGTGGCTACTTGTTATTCAGTCCAACACTGGGCATCCTGGGTAAGAGGAGGACATGGACGGTGGGAGGAACCTGGGCTCTCTCGCTCCTCCTACTGCCTGAGCATGACAGCAGAGGGCCAGGGGAGACAAGGAAGAGCCTGAGGCCAAGGGCGTCTCTGACAGCCAGGCACTGAGCTACCACTTGGAGTCCTGAGCCAGTCTCTAGCCAATGGCTTGTCGGGAGCCAGCTTGCAGGTGGTTCTCCTGAAGTCAAGGGTTCCGGGTCTCTGGCCTTGTCCTCCTGGCTCCAGTCTGGGTTTGGAAGACCAGACGGGTGGGGGCTGTTCTTATGCTCCTGGGAATGACAGGTCTAGCTGATTTTCAGCAACCCACACCACCTGGGCGTGGTTGGAAGCCGCTCCAGGCTCCCTCTCTGCCTTCCCTGTGAACCGTGAGGAGACACATTCAAGCGGCAGACACGGGCTGACCAACATGGCTGGGCTGTGTGTGGGCCCGGAGGCTGCCGCCGGCACCTGCGACGTGTCCAGCACCAGGTGCTGGGGCCCACTGAGCGTGGGCAGCTGTCTGCTGTGGGGGGGAGGAGCTCTGGGAAGGGGTCAGTGCTCACGGTTTCCAGTTCTCCAAGTAACTTGTTTCGTCAAATACATTTTGGGGGAAATAAAGTGAAAGCTGATTTCTTCCGGGCAGGAACCATGAAAACCGATGCCTGGAATCGTGTCCTACCCATCTCCTGAAAGAAACAGAAGCCGTGTGTCCAAACAGACTTGACCGTGGGGCTGTTTTGAAACAGAAGAAGCTGCCGGTGCCTTGCTGACTGCATTGTTTGCCTGGCGCTTTCTGACCCGGGCTATTACGAAACCTGACTCAGTCGGGATCCTGATACATGCTTGCCGAGGGGAGAGGCAGAGGGACCCAGTGGTGATGTCACGCAGGATGGGCACAGGAGCCCCAGTCTAACCCTTTCCTTGGCAAGTTCGTCTGGAACCCATGGCCTGCTCTGTCCATGCGGTGGGCGTGAGCGGCATAATGAGGGACCCCTCCATTTCAGTTGTGTTCTGAGAGGGGCCCACTTGCCGCACGGGGTCTGGCTCCTGTTGTCCCGAGACCCCACTGGGGACTGAGAGGGGCCCACTTGCCGCACAGGGTCTGGCTCCTATTGTCCCAAGACCCTGCTGGGGGCTGGGTGTGATGGGGACTTCTCCTGCCTGCTCCAAGGGGACGTCTCCAGCAGGAATGGAGGAAGTGAGGGCAGGTGTCTCTGGCTGGGCCTTTCTCTTTTTCTCTGTGTTTAAAACACTGTGAAAAGATTCTCGCCTCCTAGGTGGCTGAGGTCCGATGACAGTGCCTGCATTCGCTGGAGGTAGGGACAAGGCCTCTGCTGGGTCTGCACCCACTGCAAGCAAAATGCTAACATGAAACGTGGAACCAGCCTCACACGCCGGCAGCTCGCTTGGTGATTGGAGGCAGGGGAGCAAGCATGAGGGTGGGCAGAGCCTTGTGATGGCTGTGACGGAGGTCTGTCCTGCCCAGTCGCTACTCAAGTCAGACGCCACTGGAAGGTCAAGGTCAAGGGAAACGGGAACATGTAGATTATCAGTTCCTGGGTCAAAGGCATTTAGAAAGTGTGTTCTCAGCCCTCCATTCTGTTCCCAGCAGGAGCCCAGGCTGAGGAGGAAGACGAGGCAGGAGAGGTCAGGTGTGCCCCCTCCCACGACCCCCAACCCCCACACCTGGACAGGTTAATCAGAGAACAGGCTGGCGAAGGACTTCCTCAGGTTGCGGATGGTCTCGGCCTTGGCCTCGTCTTCACTGGGGGGCCCGCGCTGGGAGGCGTCGGAGGAGCTGAGGCTGTTGGTCAGGGACTGAGATTTGCTGAAACACAAAGGCAAGGGTTTGGGGAAGACAAGGCCAAGGAGCCCAAAGAAGCAGAAGCCAGGCGTCGAGCCGCATCCTTCACACTGCGTGGGGTGGGCAGGACCCACAATCCAGGACATCTACAGCACGCTCATTTTTAACTCGATCACTTGCTGTGGCCCACGAATGATGTGATAGGTACCCACATGGCCCTCGGCAGAAAAAGAAGGCGCCGGCCTGTGCAGACCTTCCTCTACCATTTGACATCAGTGGTCTCGGGTGAGCGATTCCACTACCGCACCTCTATCCCATTTGCAAAGCAGCCAGGGTTGGTCTAGCTGGGCCTCAACTTCCACCTCCTCCTCCTCGAAGCCCTGATGGCCCCCTGGTACCCCAGCCCCACCCTGCATTTTGGGGTTCTCATTGTGCCAGCCATTGGAACCGAGGGGTGGCCCAAGGGCCAGGCTGCGGCAGCTACTTGCTGAATTCGTTCTCGGTGCCAGGCCATGGGCTGGGTGGGGAGGGCTGGAGCAAGACGGTTCAGGCCCTGCCCTCAAGAAGCTCACAGACTGGTGGAGGTGACAGGAAGAGAGGGTATGAGTTTGTCACAGCATAAGAGTCCTGCGTATGGTCTGCTCGTCACATTAGAAAGCAGGGACTGTGTCACTTCCTACTTATTACTACCCCTCACAGAGCCTTGTCTGGGATGCGACATGGAGTAGAGATTTAGTTCATAGCTGCTGACTTGAGTTGAACCAAGTACTTTAAAGGACTAAGCCAGGGGACTGGCACTGTGGTACAGCCGGGTAAGCTGCCGACTGCAGTGCTGGCATCCCATATGAGCACTGGTTCAAATCCCGGCTGCTCCACTTCCAATGCAGCTCTCTGCTTATGGCCTGGAAAGCTGCAGAGGATGGTCCAAGTGCTTGGGCCCCTGCATCCACATGAGAGACCTGGAAGAAGCTCCTGGCTTCGGACTGGCCCAGTCCCGGCCATTGTAGCCATCTGCTGCAATGGGGAGTGAACCAGTGGATGGAATATTCTCTTTCTAACTCTGCCTTTCAAATACATTTATATAAAAGTAAGTCAGGAGACTGAGGTATTTGTAGCAATGTGGCAGTGTCCAAAATTGGCTCAGACAAAGCCCCGTCTGTCCCGTGGTTGGCTGGGCTGATCTTTCCACGTGGGGACAGGCTGTACACAGATATGCCAGCACGGTGCCAGGGGCATGCCAAGCCCTAACTGTGCATACATCCTGTGGGGTCATTATCATTGTGCCTGGGAGAAGATGGAAGTGCAGAAAGGTTAAGCAACTTCCCTGAGGTCATGAAGCCTTGAAGTGGTAGAGCTGAGATTTGAACACCAGGTAAACTGACCGTAGAGTCTGTCCCATCCACCACTCTGCCTCATGGCCTGGAAGGTTACTTGCTAATATGTATCAAACTAAAAATGCATCTATCTTTGGATCCAAAATACCATTTCATGTATTTTATCTACAGTGTGTCCTGCAATTATAAAAAAAGATACATTCAAGGTTACTAATTGCAGGAGTGTTTGTAAGATCAGCTGTTTCTGTTATGGTGGATTTGTTGGATAAATTATCATACAGCTACATAGTGGAATACTATGCAGCTGTGAAAAGGACAAAGTTTCGGTGAGTGGTGTGGAAGAGCTCCAAAACTTATTGGTAAACACACAGAGCAAGGAATCACATGATATGAATGGTGAATTTGCTATTTGTGTGAGAAAATGGGAGAGTGGGTCAGAACATGCATGCATTTTTTATTTGCAAAAGGGAATCCTGGAAGGACGTACAAGGATCAATAAGCGTGGTCCTTTCTAGGCACTGGAGGAGGAAGGCATTGGACAGGAATGCAGAAGGAGTGAGGCTTTCAATGCCTCTTTGATATCGTTGCTGTCCTTTAGATCCTTGGACCATGTGAAGATACCATCTGCTCTAAAAACTGTGCATGCAAAATCTTAGCCTGATGCCTGCACTGGGTGTCCTGGTTCAGCGTCCCTGCTTCCACTTACCAACGGTGGAAGTGCTAGCAGGTCGTGTGGTCTCTGTTCATCTGCGCATTGGGGATAACGACGCTGTCAACGCCTACGCTTGTGAGAACTTCAAAGAAACGGGGGTGAATATTTGGCCCCTACAAGGAGGCGACAGGCATTCGGTGTGAAACTACGATTGCAGATACTAGTATCTGGGGTTGAAGGAAGGGAGACGCTTTCCAGAGAAAACATCTGGGATCCTTCTTTCTGAACTCACACCGGGACAGACCAGAGGGGAAACAGGATGTGAGTGTGTGTGTGTGTGCGTCTGTGTGTGTGTGTGTGCGCGCTCGTGTGTGTGAGTGTGTGTGAGTGTGGTGCATTCACAAGAACGAAGGCAACAACTCCTCCTGTCCCCATTGTCCACCCTTTGGCAATGTGATCTTGAAGCGCCTCCCATCAAGCGTCTGTTTCTACTTCTCTTGAGTCTGGGCCTGGCGTGTGACTTGCGTTGACTAAAGGCAGCTTCCCAGTTGGACATCAGGTGGCCTTGAAGCATCTGCTTTTGCCCTTTTGGAAAGCAATTCCAACAGGTGAGGATGCTCTGCCTGCCCACAGGGAGGAGAGGCCGTGGGGGAAGTAGGCCCAGCTGACAGCCGGCTCCAAACACCAGCTGTGTGCACGAGGTCCCCTTGGACCATTAGGCCCAGTGGAGCTGCCAGATGACTGCAGCCACATGAGTGATCCCAGGAGAGAAAGGTTGCCAGGCTTGGCAAACAGAAATATAGGATACCAGTTACATTTGAATTTCAGATTTTTTTTTTGACAGGCAGAGTTAGAGAGAGAGAGAGAGAGGTCTTCCTTCTGTTGGTTCACCCCCCAAATGGCTGCTATGGCCGGCGCTGCGCAGATCTGAAGCCAGGAGCCAGGAGCTTCTTCCGGGTTTCCCAAGCACTTGGGCCATCCTCCACTGCACTCCCGGGCCACAGCAGAAAGCTGGGCTGGAAGAGCAGCAACCGGGACAGAATCTGGCGCCCCAACCGGGACTAGAACCCGGGGTACCGGCGCCACAGGTGGAGGATTAGTCTAGTGAGCTGCGGCGACGGCCTGAATTTCAGATTTTTAAAAATGTCATTGGGTCTTCTTCTGTTTCCAAGTCCCTGACCTTGGCTCAGCCCAGCTCTGCTCCCATCCCAACCACCCAACCCCCACCCCGCGCAACTGCCCAGGCACTTACTTGAGATGAGGATGGGGTGGCGCTGACTTCTTGGTCTCTTCGCCCTGCTGGGAGGCGCTGCGACCTTGCACGGGTGGCCGGGGCACAGAGGCGAGGGTGGCGCCCGGCTTGGCGGCCTGGTTCGGAGAGCCGCCACTGGACGCCCGGGACAGCTGTGGAGACCCTGGTGACCTCTGCTGCTGTGGAGAGCCGGCCTGGGGGCTCAGGGGCTGCTGGCCTTGTGGGGAGAGCCTCTGTTGGGAGGGGCTTCCAGACCTCGGGAGCTGAGGAGACTGAGCTTGACGAGGGCCCCCTACAGGTCAAACAAACGGTCAGGTCAAGTTCAAATTCTCTCAGCATTCACATGGCTGCGCACAAATAAGGAGGCTTCAAGGATGTTCATTATGGTGTTTTTTTATGACAGGGAAAACCAGAAAACAACAGAGCTGCCTAAGCACAGAGGAGGTGACCAGAAACATTTAGATACATTCGCAGAAGGAAATTCACTGTGATCATCTCAGACCATACAGCAGACTGACAGGAAGTGACTGAGGATGCTGTTGATAATACATGCTAAAGGGATACTAGGAAGTTAGAAAAATAGGCTCGGGGCCAGCGTTGTGGTGGAGCGGGTTAAGCCACTGCCCGTGATGCCGGCATCCCATATGGGTGCCCAAGAGTGTCCCGGCTGCTCCACTTCTGATCCAGCTCTCTGCTAATACACCTGGGAAAGCAGCAGAGGCTGGCCCAAGTGCCAGGGCCCCTGTACCCACGTTGAGACCTGGAAGAAACTCCTGGCTCCTGGCTTTTGCCTGGCACAGCTCTGGCTGTCTGGCCATTTGGAGAAGTGAGCCAGCTGATGGAAGATTCTCTCTCTCTCTCTCTCTCTCTTGCTCTCTAACTCTGCCTTTCAAATAAATAACTAAATCTTTAAAAAATAGGCTATTATAAAACTGCCTGTAAGGTTTTATTCCATTTTGGCACGTATGTTTAGAGCTATATGAAAGACCAGAAGGTTACATGCTGAAACCACACGTCTCAGCTAAGATTCTCATACAGTCCATCTGGGATGGTGTCAGGGATTGAACCGTGTCCCCTCCCCATTCATACCCCTCAATGCACTTGTATTTGGAGCCAGGATCCATAGGAAGCTGTGATTAACACAGCATGACTCATGCAAGATGTTCAAACTCTGAAGTCTTAATGTTGAGGGTTGATGGATTAAGGTGGAGCCTTGATCTAATTGTAGCATCTGAGAAGTGGGTCTGAAGGAGGTCTTCAGGTCACCTGAGGGCTTGCCTTGGAGGCTGGACCTTCCAAGAGGGTTGATTATTCAAGTCCAAGGTCTGTCCGGCTGTTCCCTCTCCTTTCTGGTTCACCATGCAACTGGCCCTCCACACCTGCCATGACCAGCTTCCATCATCAGATGAGGCCTATGGGGTCACCCGATCCTGAACCGTAACCTCCAAAGCTATAAATGGAAATAAAGCTTTTCCTTCCCAAGAAGTGCCTCTCGGGTATCTTAGCTACAGTAACAAAAATGTGGATTAACACTGTGACAAAGGTTAAACAAACGAGGGGGTGCTAATCTGATAGGGGTGGTTCCCTTGTAGGAACAGCAAGAGACGTCAGGAGTGAGTATGCATGTGCTGTGCACAGAGGAGAGGCCCCGTGGGGACATGGCAAGAAGACTGGAGAGAAGCGGTTCGAGCGGCCAACCCTGGGGACCTTGATCTTGGGCCTCCCAACCCCCAGAACTGCAAGAAAATGGATTTCTGTGGTTGAAGCTGCCCAGCTGGTGGTGGTTTGTTAATTACCACGGGCGGGCGGGGTTTGTGCTTCTGCGTTTCTAACAGGTGCCCAGGTGATGCTGTCGTTAAACATAGCGGCGGGGCTCTCAGTAATGCTTACGACAGTGGTGCGACTCTGAGGGGTATAAACTTTCCTCTCTTTGCTCACTGACCCTGAAGATGTATTAGGCTGGAAGCAGAGAGGCGCCATCCCTTACTGTGTGGGTTGTTCACTGAACGTGTCAAAGAGCTTTCAAAAGCAGCCTCCCCCTTCACCCAGACACGCTCTAGGGAAGGTGCGGGAAGCTGAGCCTTAGTAAGAATTCCTCTCCAGGAGGGGAACCGTGGGGAGCTCCCAGGGGGTGCTGCCTTCTCCCTGCCACTGCATACGAGGTGTTCAGTAGAGACCCACTGGCCGTGCTAGTTACAGAGGTGCGGGCTCCAGCTCCTTTTAGCTCCCAGCTTCCAAAGCTGTCTGAAATGCTCTCAAAAGGGCAGAGCAGGACCTCATCATGGTGCCTTTGGACTCTGCAGGGGCAGGTGCACAGCCTGGGGCGAGCACAGCGCCAGGCAGCCTATCTGCCTCATCCGGGGCTGCAGGGTCAGGGCTGTGCGCTTTGCTTGCCTGGGGCCTGGGAATCCCGCTCAGTCATTCCTGGGGAGGGGCTCCAGCTGGGGGGGGGGGGCTCCAGCATCACCAAGCTCGTGACGCCCTTGGCTTGCAGGTGGAAGCTTCTGGGCTCCGGGCACCCTTGCAGCAGCCTTGTGCACGAGCCATTGTTACCGTCCTCATATGCGTAAAGAAGCGGAGCCCCCGATAGACTGTGGCTTGCTCAAGGGGCCACTTCTAAGACAGGCGAGAGCCAAGAGTCAAATCTGCCCTCCCCACCTGCTCTCCCCACCCAGTCCTCCTGGGGTCTTTGTGTGAGTTGAGAAAAGATGGCTTCCTCCAGCCGAGTGAGGACTGGATATCAGATGTCCTGTCTGCTGGGCGCATTTGTGGAGGGCAGGACCTGTGCGTCTGATGACCCCAGGGGCCCCAGGTCCCTGCTCAAGCCTTGCCTTTAGCCAGCTGTGTGATCGAGGATGAGTCATGTCTACCTCACCGAGACATGGTGTGTGCCTGCCCCCCCGCCCCCGCCTCCGTGAGCTCTCTCTTAATTAGATTAAATCACAACACCAGTTTGGTGACTGATTGCACGTGACTTTGAGTAACTGCCTCTTTCGAGGCTATGTGTCCCAGGAGATTGGAGGCTCCACTGATCTGAAACTCAAAACGCCCATAGGGTCGGGCAGGTATGCAAAATAAATAAGCAGGTGAACCTAAGACAAGCCCTGTGGCTTTAGGTAAGGACCATTTCTCTGAAGAGAGGTGAGCATAAAGAAATAATCAGCGGACCCCCTGTGGCTATGGAAGTGACAACAAGGAGGGGTCGGGTGCCGGATGGAGGGGCCTTGGCTCTGTGCGGGGAGCAGCTGTAACTGAAACCCCAGAAGGTGCTGTGTGGCTGGAGCCAGGCTGTTTCTTGGTATGTCAGAAGCTGGAAATCTACATTTTATGCCAAAGTTTCTGATTTGTGAATATGGGAAACTTTATATTTTCTAAACTCACTGAAGTCCAAGAAAACACTTGCTTTCTACTTTTATCTCAAGTGCCCTCCTCCCCGTCCCCCATCATATCTTGGAAAAATCTGGGTACTCTTGAATTCACTCTTTGTTGAGTCCCTAACATACACCTAGGGTTCACCAAGAGTCACCCTTGTTAGTGCTTTTAGCTTCTTGGCAAAGCAAACAATTTAGTATTGCTTTTATTCAAGCACATAAAGCAAATATGCACTTTAGGATATAGGTAGTATTCGTCTGAGCCCAGGACTGGTGCAAAAAATTAATGCGTATTAAAAGAAAATGTCACTGAGTTGGAAATGAACAATGGATTCGAAACAAGTTAATAATGTGAGCTTGTTATTTGGAGAACTCAATGAGGATGACGTTTTGAAGTTAGCCTTGTTATTTTTAATCTGAATATTAATTCACTGGGCATTTTCTTTCATGCCCTTAATTGGTTTTAAATGGATTGTTTTTCAGCTCACTAAACGTGTGTTTAGCCTCATGTCCCTTAATATAATATGTCTTTATCAAGCGTGCCTCTACCCGGGGCCAGGCAGGAAATGAGAAAACAGTAGCTCTCTGTTGTAAGGAGACTCCACTCAAACGTAGTTTTAAAAAGTCAGTCCTGGGGCCGAGCGGGAAAGCAGGGGGCAGGGAAGAGGCACAGCCAGGAGCCTGGTAGGGTGCTGAAGAGGGAGTTCTGGACTATTCCCAACTGCAGCCTGACAGCCAGGCAGGGAGAGAGGTATAAGGATGTGCATGTCAGAATTGTTAGCAAGACAGACGCCATTAATAGTGAGAATCATGGAATAGCTGTTCGTAGTACATCGGCTGTCCCAAGACCTAGCATCTTCTGAGCACTCTGCCCTGAGCCAGACACCTTGCTAACTGCTTCAGTGGCGTTGTCTCAAGCACAAGACCCCCCCCCCCCATCACTGTGGAAACCAAAGACCTGGAGCCGGATCCCAACTCACATGGATGTGTCAAACGGCGCCCAGGCTCGTTTGTACCCAGCTGTGTGCACTTGGGCAGTTGCGCTGTTCTGACACATGGTCTACCTTTGCAGGAAAAGCAGCCTGGGTAAGCAAGATGGATTGGTCATTTCACCTAAGACCTGCACCAGAGGAAGCCGCTGGAGGCCCACGGCTGCTTCCTGCCCCCTCCAGAAGCAACACATCTGTCGCTTTAATAAAAGTGACTGGGAAGGCCACGACATGACAGTAATGACCTCTGTCTGATGGGTGTTTTAGCAGATCCTTAAAAGGCTGCGGGGCTCTGGGCTGGCGGGAGAGCAGTGCGTGAGCCCACAAGGCTTGGAGGGCCAGGGGCGATGCTAGGGGCACTTGCTGCAAACCTGTGTGCGAGGATGCCCGGGTAGCTGACTTTCCTGTAGACACCTGCTTAGCTACCAACACGAGTTCGTCTCATCTTGTTGCCAATAGTTCTTCGTTATCTAAATGAATGGTAGCATTTACGCAGGAATGCTAGACTACTTTTGAGGAAGAATAGCACTCGACCCAGCTTTGGATATAATCTTCTGCTTTTCTTTCTTCTCTCACGCTAGCTGGTTGGCCCACGATCTATAAACAGGCACTGCTTGTGGCTTGGAAGAAACACGTTCTAGAAAGTCTCAAAGACCAGACTTGGAAACCTGTCATGTCCTTGTTGTGCCTTGATTTCCATCTCTGTACAGAGGACAGGCAGGGCACCTGCTTTTGCTGTAGAGAGGCTGGGAGGATGAAAATGAGAAAAGAGATGGCAAGGTCTCTAGCACAGTGCTTGAGCCTAACGGGACTTAATACACCTGCTCTCTGTCTTCCCTTTCTTCTCTCCTTTAAAAAAAAAAAAAGATTGATTGATTTATTTGAAAATCAGAGTTAGGAGGGGGGAGAGAAGATCTCCCATCCACTGATTCACTCCCCAGATGGCTGCCGAAGCTGGGAGCTTCTACCAGGTCTCCCCTGGGGTGGCAGGGACCCAGGTACTTGGGCCATATTCCACTGCTCTTCCCTGGCCATTAGCAGGGAGCTGGATCAGAAGTGGAGCAGCGGGGACTCAAACTTTAATGGGAGACAAAGCTCGCTCTGCAGGTGGAGTGCGTGGGCCTATTCTGTGGATACAGCGGCAGCCTGGATCTTGCCAGAATGCCTCTTGGAAACCTTGCATGCATTCAGCCCCCACTCTGAGATGGCCTCTCTCAGTCCCTCGGCCTGGGTCGTACCTTGTGGAGGCGGCCGTGGCTGGGGTTGTCCCAGCTGAGGGCCCAGCTGGGCCTGCCCTGGGGATTTCGCTGGTTTGGTCGGTGGAGCCTGGAGCGGGCAGAGAGGAGAGAAGCCTGCTGATGACTCACAGCCACGTACAGGGGCGTGCACAAGTCTTAGGTGTATGCCCCAGCGTATTTACAGGTGTGTGATCCCCACCAGAACCTGCCCAATCAGAAGGCTGCCCTGTGGCTCCGTGCCCCCCACCCCTGCAAGTCCCTGGAGTGTAACCATTATCGGACACCTATTAGTGTATGTGGGGGAAGCTGGGGCATGGCGGAGGGATGCGTTGAGTTTGTTGTCCCAGGCAGCTGGGGGTGCGAGACCACTCCTTGGAGAATGCTCTCCTGGCAGTGAGCATGGCAGGAAGAGCTCCGTGGGAGCTCGTGGGGTTGGCGGATGGAGAACGGACGACACAGTGGCCTTTCCTGACCGGTGCCTGGGGGCACACGGAGGGTACGTGTGTACCTGCACTCTCACACGCTCACACACTCTGCTCAGCCGAGAAGGCGGAGAGCCAGAAGGGGCAGCAGTAAGGAATCTCTGCCCATGAGATGTGTTTTCCCAGGGTGGTGGTGGGGGAGGCAGGGCCGCCAAGCCTCCCCGCTCATCCCTGCTCCTGCCTGGGGGGCGGCGGGGGAAGCTCTCCCCATGCCCAGCCTTTGTCCACACCCCGGCCCCGGCTCTCGGAGGTGGTCTCCTCAAGGGGCATCCCCTTGGATTCTCTGCCCATCCCCAGAGAGCCTCGCGCGTCCCAAGGCTGCAGATCTTTGATCTCACCCAAGGTCTCAGGGGCGAGGGCACTGTGGCCCCTGGTGCCAGCAGGTGGCTCATTTTGGAGATGACAAGGTCGGCCATCAGCTGTCTGTCCTCTTCCACGTGCTCTCCGATCAGGGGCATGGAGCTGTCCATCACCTGTGGGAGACAGGCAGGGCTGAAGGACCCCAGGCTGGGAGAGCCTGGCCCTTGGGCAGCTCTCAGGGTGGGCTCAGGGCAGGAGGCGGAAGGGACCACTAGATGGCGATGTCCTCCATGCAAACCGCTCAGCCCGGCGCCTCCAGCTGGGACCGGGCCCCACGGAGTGGCCTGGCTTCAGTTCACAGACGCCGGGCTGTGCGGGGCTGCTGGGAGCCTTCGCTGACCTTTTCAATGTTTCTCTTTGGGGAGCCCGTGTCTGCCCCCTCCTTTCTCATCCGGGCCCCCTCCCAGGGCTGGGGCCGGCCTCTTCTCCTTTGGCCCAAGGTCAAGGCTTTCCACACAGCCGGAAATGGTGAAGTGGGGGCTCCATCAAGACCAAAGAGCGACACAGGGCTGGACGTGGCCCAGGGTTCAGAGGGAAGAGAGGGGGTAAACGGCTGCTCTCCAGGCCCTGACAGAACACAGGCCTGGGGCGAAACTTACTGCACACACAGGGCGCTGGGCCGATCCCCACCTGAGCGAAGTGCTTAGGTGGGGAGGGGCCTGAGCGATCCTATTCGTTCGTTCTGCTCTTTTTGCAGAGGGAGAAAGGCCTGGAAAGGAGAAGGGACCTGCCCAAGTCACGGAGGCCGACGGTCCAGGTGGGTCTCAAGGCATCAGGCCTTGGCAGCTCTGTGAAACTGTGGGAGTTGTCACCCTCTGTCTCTTCCTCTACTGTAGCAATTCAGCTGCCTGCACTCTCTCATCGAGCCCCACCCAACCCGCTGTCTTGTCTCCCTTTTCCCGAGCTCTGGACTCACCAGGCTCCCCCACCTTAGGCAGGTCATTCCCCCCCTCCCCAACACCTTAGCTGGCTCACTCTTATCCATCAGGGAACACCTTGTTAGCCCTTCCTCCAGGAAGCCCTCCCTGACTGCACAAGCTCTGACAACCTCGCACCTGTACTCCTGCTGACCTCACTGGGGTTGCTGGGCTGGAGGACTCATTTCTGGAGCGCCGTAAGCTCCTGTGTACTGTCTCCATACAAGGCTGTGAGCTCCCTGCGGGCAGGGATGGGCCCTGTGTCCTGTGAACAGGTGCGCCCTCCACAAATACCTGTTGCATGGAGGAAGCCCTGCTCCTAATGACAAGGAGGTTAACACAAGGTGCTGGGTTTTATTGAGCACCTGCTACATGCCAGGCATGGTTCTAATCCCTCTGGCACAAATCTTGGAATAGCTCCTTGAGTCATATCCTTATGATGATGAGGAAACTGGGGTGGGGTGGGGGTCAAAGAGATGGCAAGTTCACAGACACATGGCTGGCCACCCACGGTCCTTCTGTCTCGCAGGCCAATGCTCACAAACACTGGAACAGCTCCTTAGGGTAGGAGCTGGGAGGAGGAGACCAGGGGCCCAGCTGAGGTTCTGCTGGGGCCTGCATGACACCCTGTGCTCCGAAGGACTGTTTGTCTCTCAACTACAAAGTGAGGGTTCCAGGCAGCTGCCAGGCCTCTTCCGATTGGGAGTTCTGGGGGGTCCCTGGGTCAAAAGCCCCCGCAGGGGTTAGGAAGCTGAAGAGCAAGTTCAAGGATGTGAATACTGATGCCAGCCGGACCGTGAAATTGAGCCCTTTGGGGACTGCGTGGGGATCCCGGTGCCCAGAACCCGGGATGGTCCCCGGGTCAATACCGGATCTGTGCCCAGCAGGTACTGTGTTCCGCCCCCTGCCTGCCGGCTCTCCCCCTGCCCCTGCCCACGCCTTTCCGTTCTGGTCCCTGTCTCCCACATTCCCTGGGTGGAAACAGCCGCCGCAGGAACCTGAGGTCAGAGAATTTTGGAATCCCCGTGGTGGACATGGCCAAAGGAAGTGGACACTCGGGTCTCCTCAGGGAAGCATTTTTCCAGCGAGCAGTGTCACTGCCCGGAGGGGCCGGAGAGGGGGGTGTTCAGGGTCCTCCCCTGTGTATTTCACCCTGAGGATCTGCATAAAACATTTCACACAAATTCCGTTCTCACCGCAGAGGTGGCCAGAGAAGCCAGGAGTTCTGGATCTTTCCAGTCTGTTTTTTTTTTTTCTTCTTACTGAGGAAAAATACCTTTTATATTCCTGGTCACAAGCTCCCTGACCCCACCCCAAACCCCAAAGCAAAGGAAACAAGTCTGTAATGTTTTGGAGAGAGAGGAAAAAAAAAAAAAAAAAAAAAAGAAGCCACTGAAAACTCATCTTCTTTTTTTTTTCTGGAACATTTCTGACAAGTTGTTTTCTTATTTTTTGATGTGTAAGTTCACTCCTTTTACTTTCTTCTTCTTTCTATTTTACTTTTCAACATTTATTTATTTTATTCGAAAGGCGAATTACAGAGACAGAGGAAGAGACAGACGGAGAATCTTCCATCTGTTGGTTCACTCCCCACATGGCTACAATGGCTGGAGCTGGGGCCAGGCCGAAGCCAGGAGCTTCCTCCAGGTCTCCCACATGGGTGCAGGGGCCCAAGGACTTGGACCATCTTCTACTGCTTTCCCAGGCCATAGCAGGGAACGGGATTGGAAGTGGAGCAGCAGGGTCTCGAACCGGCGCCCATATGGGATGCCGGCGCCAGAGGCAGCAGTTTAACCCGCTATGCGACAGCGCCCGCCCCTACTTCATTTTCTTACATGTGAGAGGCCTTTTGTGCCTGACCCTGTGAGTGCAGGCAGGGAGCCTGGGGCCCTGTGTGCACACTTCTTTTTTCCTCCATGAGGGAGAGGGCAGAGGAGAATCAGAGAAGCAGAGAGAAGTCGAATGTGAGGAAGTTGGGCTCTCCTGGGGGACAGTGTCCCCGCTCTGAAATGGCAGCTCTGGCACACAGGGCCCCCACTCTGATCACTGCCCAGTCCTGCTCACCAGCTTCGGGTCTGGCACCGGCGGCTCCGTCGTGAAGAACTGAGTGCCAGTGTGTGCCAGAGCCACATCCATGCCTGGTGGCCCCTGAGGAGGTGCAGGGCCAGGCTAGGCCCAGGAGCTGCCTTACCCCAGGCAGGAGGGCCCTCATCCCACCCCCAGCCTAGCTCCCAGGGTCTCCCTAGGGAAGCAAATGTGTGCACCCACAACAGTGCACTGGCTCCTCCCACGGCCCCTCTGCCAAGGGGCTTTGGGGGAGGGGCGGTTTGAGGACCTGTGGCAGCCAGAGAAGCGATTCCTGGCCCTGGAAGGAGAGCAGGACCACCGGCAGGAGCTAGTGAGATGCAGGTCACCCACTGGGGGGGCTTTGCAGTCTTTCTGGAGTGGGCGGAGGGGCTGTATCTGCCCGGCGTCCCTCCCTCACCCCAAGGCAGCTTGGGCTTGGCTGGACTCCCACCCGCTGAGTCACCTGGTCCTGCTGCTCCGTGGTCCCCCCCCACCCGGGGGAGCAGGGCAGACACGAGGGGCGGGAGGGCTGGCCAGCTCCTGCGGTCACCCAGCCATGTGCTTCCCATTAGCCGCCCACACCCCGGGAGGCACAGCCACAGGGCTCCCCCTGGCCAGCTGGGCCTTGTGTCAGCCCTGCCCCTCGGCTGTGGTTGGGAAAGTGAGTGAGCTGGAAGGGACTGGGGGTGTCAGCGTGTGGGTGTGAGGGGCAGGGTGGAGCCATGAGACTATGGATTTGGGGGAGGCGTGGGCTACAGGTGGGAGATTCTGGTCCCTGTGCTAGTCCTGCTGCACTCTCTCGGCCAGATCCCCTGCCCTGCTCTGTTCTCCTGGGATCCTTCCACACCTGCCAGGCCTTGTTTAATCACCCTTCTTCCTGCCACAGCTGTGTCCTCAGAGCCACGCCCCTGCCTACCCCAAGTCCATCCACGTTTGTTAACTGAACACAGGATGGAGTCTATGCACGGTGAGCAGGAAGTGTGCCCACTTTCCTCACGTGGACACTGAGGAGACAAACAAGGCCCGGAAGGGGGCAGGGTCTTGCTGACCCTTGGCCCGAGGTTCTCCCCCTACCCTTGGGAGTGGGGGGAAATTGCTCAAGGTCATGAACCAATGAGCTCTGGAGGGTCCCTTCAGGGCTACAACCCAAGTGGGAGGAGCAGGTGCGAGAGGGCGGAGGGGGAGAGGCCCAGGCTGGCTCCCAGCCGGGAGGCGTGGCCATGCCGGAGGGCACGCTCACCTCGATGATGTAATCCCGGCCGTCCTTGCTGTGGACCGCCTTGACGGCACAGATGTCCAGGCCACCGAACATCTCTGAGCAGCTGTCCACCCACAGCCTGTACCTGCGGGTGGGGAGGGACAGACTGTGAGCCCGACGGAGGGGGCAGGGCAGAGGGAGGCGGCAAGACAGCGCTGCAAGGGCATCCATGCCATGATGGAGGGAGAGAGGGAGACACACACACACACACACACACACACACACCGTGGAAGGGTCACCGAGGCCCGGCGGGAGACAGAGCCAGTGAAAGGGAGGCAAGGCCGCAGCTGGATAGAGCAGGAGAGGAAGAACAGGAGTCCGGGGAGCTCAGAGACACCCATCCCGGCCTGCCTGCGGGGACCCTGCACGATCCACAGCGGTGGGGGTTGCTCTGCCCCCATCCGTGGCCATCCAGGCCACCCGGCCGCCCCTGGAGCCCTGTTCCCTTGGGAAAGCTGCTCGTAGGGCTCCAGAGATGGCTCCGGCCTCCCTCCCCGCCGCAGAGCCCCCAGCCAGACCGCAGCCTCTGGGGACAAAGGGAGCATTCTCCCGAGGCTGCCTGCGCAGGGGCAGGGGCAGGGGCAGGCCGGGGAGCCTGGCCGGCGGCTCCCGCCTGGCCCCGGGGGCCTGGCCCTCTGGTCCAGCTGCTTTTGTTCCTTTTCCAGCCCCTCGATGGCTGCAAAGCCAGTTTGCTTTGCTGGGGACAGATCCCAACCCCGGCCTTTGCCCTTGCAACAAGGGGCTGCTTGTGTCTGGAGAAATCTCCCGGCTTGCACTTGGCCTCCCCCGTGGGCTGGGTGTGGGAGTCACAGGGCACTCTGTGTCAGTGTTCGTGCTCTATCCCCGCTCCCCGGGGTCACCCAGGGCACGGCTGCTCTCACATCTATTTGTGTCTCTGAGCCATGCAGCCTGGAATAAGGGGCAGGGGGATGGTGGCTGAAGTGCTCCTCCAGCCGGCTCCCTCCTCCTGTCCTGTCCTGAGGCCCAGAAAGGGGGCTGTGCCTTGCCCAGGCCACACAGCAAGGCCGGGATAGGGCCAGGAGACCCGGCTCTCCGAGCTCCGCATCCAGTTCTCTCACGGAACCATGGAGAGGAGCAGGGGAAATCCTAGACATCAAAGGCAGAGCCAGCGTGAGCCAGGCAGTCTTCCTGGGTAGCTGACTCGCTCTCCTGCCAGTCCCTCCCGGATTCTATCAGGAAGGCTTTCACCCATTCTACTGATGAGGAAACTGAGGCTCCGGGGAACTAATAAGTGACCGCGTGGCCCGCAAGCCCAGATCCTGTCTGATTCCGGGCTCCAAACAAACTCCCCAGCTCGGAGCAAGGGCCTGGCTTCTTGCTGTGAATTCCCTCAGGAATCCGGTGGGAGCCTCTTCTCCTTGCAGCCTCAGTTTCCTTAGCCACAAGTGGGAAGGCCACGTCCGATTCTGGTCGCACATCCTTCACCAGAGCTGAACAGCTCACACGTGCCAGCTCTGGGGGCTCCACCCTGTGTTGGACTCCTCTCTGATCTGTTAAAAGCTTCCCACGTGACGCCGAGGAGCTGCTGTGGCTGGGAATGACCTTGGGCTCCCAAGCTCTAAGAGTTGTTCGTGAGCTCTCTGGGGTGAGACACTCACCCTTCAGGGTTCGTTTTCTTTCTTTCTTTCTTTCTTTCTTTCTTTCTTTCTTTCTTTCTTTCTTTCTTTCTTTCTTTCTTTCTTTCTTTCTTTCTTTCTTTCACAAGCAGAGTGGACAGTGAGAGAGAGAGAAAGAGAAAGGTCTTCCTTCCATTGATTCACCCCACAATGGCCGCCACGGCCGGCGCGCTGCACTGATCTGAAGCCAGGAGCCAGGTGCTTCCTCCTGGTCTCCCATGCGGGTGCAGGGCCCAAGGACCTGGGCCATCCTCCACTGCACTCCCGGGCCACAGCAGAGAGCTGGCCTGGAAGAGGAGCAACCGGGACAGAATCCGGTGCCCCAACCGGGACTAGAACCTGGTGTGCCGGTGCCACAGGCGGAGGATTAGCCTAGTGAGCCGCAGCGCCAGCCCAGAGTTCTTTTCTTTTTTCTTTTTATTTTCCTTTTCTTTTCTTTCTTTCTTTCTTTTTTTTTTTTTTGACAGGCAGAGTGGACAGTGAGAGAGAGAGAGACAGAGAAAGGTCTTCCTTTGCCATTGGTTCACCCTCCAATCAGCTGCGGCCGGGGCACCGCGCTGATCTGATGGCAGGAGCCAGGTGCTTCTCCTGGTCTCCCATGGGGTGCAGGGCCCAAGTACTTGGGCCATCCTCCACTGCACTCCCGGGCCACAGCAGAGAGCTAGCCTGGAAGAGGGGCAACTGGGACAGAATCCAGCACCCTGACCGGGACTAGAACCCAGGGTGCTGGCGCTGCAAGGCGGAGGATTAGCCTAGTGAGCCGCGGCGCCGGCCCAGAGTTCTTTTCAACAGAGCCCCGCTGGCTGCACCCCTGGGGCAGGCACCCCCCAGGGTCAAGGGCAGAGCAGGGTGTGAGAGGCATGGTATTCCTACTCCTTTCCAAGGGGGCAGGACCAGCGCTGACCAAGCCTGGGAGGCAGCTTCCCTGGTGAGCAGGTTGAGTGAGGGGGCCACGGCCCGTTTGTGGGTCCCTAAGAATTCTCCCCCTATGAGATGAGCTGGGGAGCCGTGTTGAGACCCTGGAGTACTGCCTGTGGCTGCAAAAGGGAAAGTGAACTCCAGGCCAGAGCAGAGCCTCACGTCCTTGGTGCCTGCTGGCTAAGCAGAGCCCCAGAGAGATGGTGGCCTGCAGGGGGCGTCCCTGAGCAGCTTGGGAGGCCCTGGGGGAGGCTGGCTGGGCCCGCCTTCTAGAGAGGCCATGGAGAAGAGGACGCTGCGTGTCTGGTGCACGCCCGCCGGGGAGGGACTCGGCTGCTGCAGCAGACCACACCATTCAGCTGTGCCTGGAGATGAGCCCCGGCTGTGTGGGAGCGGTCAGCACGGGGTGGGGGTGGGGCTCCCAGATTGCGGGGAGCAGGGTGCTTCTCGCTGCTGCAGCTGGTCCTGGATGAGGTGCTGCCTAGTCCTCCCTACTCGGTCCTTGTGGGGCCTCTCTCCCTCTTCCCCGCCACGGTTTCTCCGGGACCTGGCTCCCAGCTGGTGCCAAACAGTGGATGGTGCCTCTCCTCCCACCTCCTCTCTGACCTCACCCCCTCCAAAATTTGGACTGGGGGTCCCTTCCTTTGGGCCCCCCCCCCCCCACAGTCCTCCACGGGCATCAGGTGCTCACGGTCACTGTCATTATCTCCTTGCTTATCCGGGAGCTGGGGGGTGGTGGCTGCTCTTTCAGCCTGGCGGCATTGATTTTCCCGCCTAGTAAAGCCTTCTTCACACCCCTGGCTCTTTCTCCCAGAGTCTCAATCTCATTATTCTTAGACAGGGGCAGAGACCTGCTGTAGGCCCAGCCAATCACAGCATTGCGGCCTTCTGGGCCTTACTGATTGGTCCAGAGACGATGATGTGACCCAGGCCAGGCCAATCAGTGAACAAGGCTTAGTTCCAGGCTTTGGTTTGAGTTGCCCGGGAAGAGTTTTCTTTATCCTGGCGCGGTGGCTGTGAGGCTGTGGGCCTGCAGCAGCGAGGCCTGCACAGGAGGAAGCCGGGCCGAGGCAGGTGAGGGGGCGTCCCCAAGCCTTACCTGACGCTGGGCCGCGGGAGTGTTCAGCGACATGAGCCAGTAACCCCCTCTTCATGCTTAAACCAACTTGACACGCGACTGCTCAGAATTCTTAGCAGGTGGCGTCGGACCCTTCCACCTTGGCCTTCTTAGTGCTCAGCACAACATAGTATGCAGTTGGTGCTCAGTAAGTGCTTACTAAACAGATTTCTGACCCCAAAGGGCATGCAGGAAAGAATGCGTGAGCGAGGCCGGGCTGATGGCACACGGCAGTGTGCAGGGGTGGGAACCTTTCTCTCTGCCCAGGGCCATTCGCGTATTTATAACATCATCCACAGCCATATAAAATTATCAGCATAAAAGCTAGCCTGCTATAGAGCTGTTGCATTTTGAGAGTCCTGCCTGTGGCTGCTTAGGCAGGAGCAGACCAGATGATTCTGCCGGTCTCCTGTGGCCCAGGGGCTGGACGTTCCGCACTCCTGGGGAAAAGACCTGAGGGGCCTTGAGTCCTGGTGCACCCGTGAGTCACGCGTGAGTCACAGGAAATCGAGCCGTCCCCACTCACAGTGCGAGGGCACGAGGCTGAGAGCGGATGCCTCCTGCCTGTCGGAGCACAGGGGGCACTGGCGAGGGCACCTGCCCCCTCCCCGGAGCAGTGGATGTGGGGCCAGGAACCCTCAAGGACTTGGATTCACAGCGCCAGGGCTCCAGTCTCAGCTCTGCTCTCGAGCTGCGCTGTGACCCTGACCTGTGACCCTCTCCGAACTCCCTTCTCCCATCTGGAAAGTGTGGGTTGTGTGGGCAGGAAAGGAGGTCATGCCCAGGACAGGGCTCTGTGGGTGGAGAGGCAGTGGGCACTGGGTGAGGCAGCCTTCTTCCCCGGGCTCCTCGTTGTAGCCCGGCCTCTTCCTGCACCTCCCTTGTCTCTTACCTCTCAGTCATGGCCACCTGCTCCAGCATGGCAGAGCCTGTGTTGGCCTTCCAGTTCCCGGAGATGGAGGTTCTCCTATAGCAGAACAGAGAACACACTGAGGGCAGTAGGCACACTGGCCGCTGATCTGCTTTCCTTCTTTGCTTAGGCTGCTAGGAGGCTCTGATGCAAATATCTGTCTCTTACTAGATATGGCATGTATTAGGAACACAGCTTGATTTTTCTGTTTTTATTTCCCTTCCTAATGGTTACCTTACTTTTTTTTTGTTGGATCTCAGATCTTGATTCCTAAGCCACCTTTGACATCTAAAAATTAAATTTAAAAAGTGCCTACACCATCAGATGAAATCCACCAAACCTTGTCCTCCTGCTTTTGAGGCAAACTGGGGCAGTGTAGCCCCTACCGATTCTGCAATTTTTTGAGGACCCCAAAATGTAGGAAAAATGATGTTTAGAGAGAAGGAATTACTCTTTTTTTAAAGATTTATTTATTTATTTGAAAGAGGGGTGACAGGGTGGGGGAGGGAGAGAGAGAGAGAAAAGGAGAGAAGGAGAGAGAGAGAGACAGAGAGAGAATCTTCCATCCTTGATATAGTCCCTAAAAGGCACAATGTACAGGGTTGGGTCAGGCTGAAGCCAGGAGACTGGAACTCCACCCAGGTCTCCCAAATGGGTGCAGGGGCCCAGGTACTTGGGCCATCTGCTGCTGCTCTCCCAGGCCACTAGCAGGAAGCTGGATCAGAAGTGGAGCAGCCGGGACTCAAACTGGTGCCCCAGCATGGGCAGCCAGCATCTGAAGCTGCAGCTTAATCCACAGTGCCACAGCGCCAGCCCTGGGGGCCACTATGCTGCAGCGAAGAGCAGGCAGACCAGCTGGGAGGCCGCCTGCCCCCTCTCCCTCCTCTGCTCCTTTGCCTCTTCTGCTCCAGCAACAAGAGACCTCGGCACCTGTGCGCCGCTGCTCTGGGCTCTCCCCGTCGGTCACAGCCCCCACCCCCCCAGCCTGTGCCCTTTACCCCGCGCAGGGCTTCGTCTCTCTCTTTGGCTCCCTAGGTCCTAGTCAGCCTGCAGCTTTCACCTGAAACGGGGCTTCCTGTCCAGCTCACCTGCCCCAGCCAGAGCCGACCACCCTGGCCCACGCTCAGCACCGCTCCTCTCCCTGCCTGCCCTGATGGCGCGGGAGCTGGGGGAAGAGGACGTGTCTGACTTCGTCCCGAGCATCCCTAGTGTCCTGGGCCTGGACGTGAGGCAGCCCCTGGACACACAGGCTGGAACGTAGACTGGGACAGAAGTGTCCGCCTATGTCACACACTGTTTTAGTCTTTCCAAGAGGCTGTGAGGTGGTGCCGTAGACAACAGCCGTCTATATCTCACAGTTCCGGGCATGGTAAATCCAAGGTCAAGGTGCCGGCAGCTTCCCCGTGGGGCGAGGACCTGCCTCCTGCGTTCTGGTTCATAGCTGCGATGCTTCCATGAGAGGCCGCCAGTGGCTCCGCCTCCTAATCCCGTCCCTTTGGGGATCTGAACTGCAACCTAGGAATTTTGGGGAGTTAGTGGACACAAACATTCACTTGAAGGTGCTTGACCCTACTTGAAGGGGCGGGAGGCAAGGGGCTGACCTAAGCAACTTTGGATCCAAGTGGAGATAGATGGCCGCAAACAAGCACTGGACTGTAGCTGGTCAAGTTGCTTCCTGCAGGGCCAAGGGCTAAAGGCTTTGAAGCTGCCCACGAAGGCTGGGATTGAACCAATACGTCAACGGCTGGTGCATCCTGGGAGCGGAGGTCGCCTCTGCTACAGTGGGAGGTTGCAGATAGCACTGGGAGAGGGTAAAAGGAGCTACAAAGTATCGGATGCGCAAATTGGAGGGGTCCCCGTCATGCTATTTAGCTTCATGCTGTTGCGGCTGTACACGCAGAGAAATAACCAGGATGTGTGTGTCTACAGGGGTGAGGAGCACACTTGATTTCCTTGCTGGGATGGCTAAGAGGACCCAGAACAATGACACCCCTGTCGCCACGAGCAGGAAGTGGGCCCGAGAGGAGGTTGAATGGTCAGGGCCAGGGGGGACATTCCACGCTGGGGTCTGACACCAAGCCCCTTCCTTGGATGGGGGCCAGCCCAGGGTCCAGGATACTCCATGACAAATGACACATTGGAGCTGGCAGGCTGGAGGAGGCGCTGGCCAGAAAGGCTGCGACAGTGAGGTCATTTTCCAGAAAAGAAACTGGGACAAGGTGTCGTCCGAGTCAAGTGGAAGCGGGGACAATGAAGAGAGGAGGGAAATGATATCATGGTGGGCAGCAAGGGCCACGGGCGTGCCCAGGGCTGCGGCGCTGGGCGGAGGAAGGGAGCCTGTCAGCCTGCAGGGGGCGCCAGCTCTGGCCTGGGAGAGGGTGGCTGACAAGAGAGGGCAGCACCCTCCCCTGGGGAACGGGCCGCATCCCCATCCTGGGGATATTTCCTTCTGGGTCACCTGCCCCTCCCCTCCCACTGCTCAGGTGGGTAGCACAGTCCAGGAGTTGTCGCCAAGAATGCAAAAGCTATGATTACCCTCTGGCCCATTTGCTGACCCTTGTCCTAGGAAATCCAGGTGGCACAAAACCAACCACGGGCCACACAGAAATGGCTGTGTGTGGCTGTGATCAGCACACCTGCCTGCACAGAAACAGGTGGCAGCTGGATTTGCCTATGGCCTGGGGCTGTCCCGCCCTAGCCTAGGGTACAAGCTACGCCACACAGAAGCACACAGACAGGGAGACTTCCAACTGCCCAGGGCCAACCACGGCAGCCCTCAAACACAGAGCCTTGCATGCAGTCAGCGCTCCATAAATGCTCGGCAAGCAGGCGGTGTTGGCTGCCTGGGGTCTCATCATTTCAATGCCAAGGCCGTCGTTCCAATGTGAGAGGCAGAGAGGCCTTGGAATCAGGCTTATCTAGGTGCTTAGGGACCGTCAACAGTTTCAGGAAAAGGTACATTATGAAAAAAATCTATGCATGAATTTCAAGTTTTTTTGTGCCAAAATATATGTGTATTTTAAGAGAAATTAATTAGCGCAGAGAGAGAGAGAGAGAGAGAGAGTTCTCATCTGGTCCGTGCAGTGGCTGAGGCTGGGCCAGGTTGAAGCTGGGAACCAGGAACTCAGTCCAGGTCTCCCACATGGTGGCACGGCCCCAAGTCCTTGGCCCGTCACCTGCTGCCTGCCCGCGTGCACACTAGTTGGAAGCTAGAGTCAGGAGCCAGGGCAGAGTTGGGACTTGACCCAAGATCTTTCGCTGTGGGATGCAGGTGTCCCAACCGGTGTCTTAACCAACGCCAGCCCCAAACTTGGCTTTTGGTCCCAGTGTCCACCAGCTCTGTGCAGTCCCCTGGGACAGCTCCTCTGATCACGGCACTCTTCGGCTCAGAAGAGAACCCCAATCCATCCACGCAGCCTTCAACGCCCTTCCTCATTCGCACCCAGCTTCTCCTTCAGCCTGGACTCTGAAGACGTGGCATCCTGTGTGTCCTCCCAGTTCCCCCAGACAGGGCGCCCACCTTTCTTTCTTTCTCCGGGGGACCCTGCCCTTGTCTGTCTTCCCTGGGCCAGGCTGAGACAGGTCAGCCCTCAGCTGCACTGGCTGGAGAAGGGTAAGAGCAGAGAACCGCGGAGGACCACAAGGAGCCAGGGGAGGCTCCGCCCTCGGATGGACACAGGCGCCTGTCATCTCCGCCCCTCCCACCCGTCCCACCCGCCCCACACGCAGGGACTCACATGTAGGCCTTGTAGTTGGCCCCGATTTTCTGGATGCGGATGTCGTACTTGGAGTCGATGAAGGCCTCGGTGGTGGCGTAGGTCTTGGCCATGGCCACCACACTCGTGATGTCCTGGTAGTCGTGCTGGTTTTCCACTTTGATCTGTGTGGGAAGACGAGGAGAGGGGTGAAAGCCAGCTCCCCAGCACTCGCCAGGCCCCTCCCTGCTGCCGGGTGTGCGGGCCCCATCACTAGGGACAATGCCTGTGAGAAGGTCACAGGAGGCCAATGACCTGATGCGTACCTGCCCAGGTGCGGACGGAGGAGGGGCCCAGCCCTCTTAGGGAGGCTGGGAGTCTTTGGAGAAGGGGGCGCTCTGGCCGGGGTTGGGGGGATGGACACATCTTGCAGGCCGTCCTCTGGGGCGCAGGAGGGCTGTGCTCAGGTCGGGGCTCGAGGACCCGCAGGTGTCAGGGAGAGGGCCCGTGGGTCCACCTGGCTAAGGTGTGAGATGGGAGCAGCTAGGAGGGGGTGGTGAAAAGCAGGATCATGGAGGGCCCCATTGCTTCTGGAAAGAGCTGGAGTTTTAGCCTGAAGACTTTAGGAAGCCACAGAAAGAGTTTCAACAAGCAAGTGGCTTCCTTTCACGTTTTAGAAAAATCACGCGAGCAGTTGTATAGAGGATATGGGACACAGAGACAGCAGGGTGTGTGTAGTTTGTGGGACATCGTGTGTGTGATATGTTGGCATGTGGTTGGTGCATGGTGCGTGTCCATGTGTGTGTGTAGGGGGTGTGGTGTGTAGGGTGTGGGATGTGCCTATGTGGTGTGTTTGCTGTGTGTTGTGTGTTGCATGTGGGGGTGCAGTTTGTGGTGCTTGTGTGTGTGTGTAGTGTATGAGTGTGTGTGTGTGTGTGTGTGTGCATGGACAGGCGAGCTTGCTAGGCCAAAGGCCTGGGGGGAGAAACTCACACTGTTTACTGGGCTGAGGCCAGGAACATGGGGTGTTGTCCTGGGGTCAGGGAGAGGGCCCAGGAGAGCTTCCAAGGCCAAGTGCAGGGGACGAGGCCAAGCTCTGCGATACTGATCTCAGGACGGAACAAGGCGGCCTCCCGGCGGCTGCGGACAGCTGGCTGGCGGTCCCTCCCCGCTGGCCGTGGGGGCCCTGCCTGGTCAGAGGGGGGGGTCCCCTTCCCCTGCACCCTCGCCCCGGCAGCAGGGGAACGCTGAGGCCGGAGCAGACGCTGGCAGAGCCCAGACTCCCCCCTTGGCGGGGGAGGGGGGGATAGGGAGGTTTGTCCTCAAGGTTCCAACCTCACCATCCTCTCCTCCTCACTCCCTCCCTCCTAGCCCATTCCTGCCCACGTCCATCTGTCCCACAAGAAGGTGCACTCACATGGGCACCAGCTTTGCAGCCTGCAAGGTGCCCTCCCCGCCCCCCACCCATGGCACCCAGAGCAGAATGAAGAGGCACATGGGCCGGGCCTGATTGTGGTCATTTCACAGATGGTGAAACTGAGCTTCCTGGCTGGGGCCCGGGGCGTCAAGCAGCTGGGCACAGAGCTGGGAGCCATGCTCTGGACTCCAAGGGCACGGCTTCACTTTGAACCATCTCCCGGTCTCGGCGGGGGCAAGCCTGCTGTGTGACTGTCACAGATGGAGCAATGGGGGAGACAGGCCGGGCACAGCCTCTCTCTCCCGGCCCTGTGATGGCTCCGAGGCTCGCCCTGCAGAGAAGGTGAGGCCACAGGGCAGGAGTTCCCTGTCCCACGCCCCTGCCCTCCCCACCCCCGACCCCGAGCTCGCAGACATCCTACTTCTGGTTCCCAGCTGCATTGTACCTGCTCGGCCTCCTCCCTTGGTGCCAGGTCTTTACGGCGCTGGCTGCTGGCTGTCCACACCTTCCCTAGTAATGGGGCCCTCGGTTTTAGCTGGGCACCTGGGCGCCTTGCAGGTAGGCATGGCTGCCTTTCCAAGTGCTGGCCAGGGAAGGCTGGGTAGATGCAAATATGAACCTGGATATGATATGACCTGAACCTGGATATGAGATGAACATATGACACAAACATGGCTGGGACATGAACATATAGCATGAACATGAACCCGGATATGATATGAACATGATATGACGCCAACCTGGATATGACATGAACATGGATATATGAATATGAACATAGATATGACATGAACAATTGCTAAGTGGAGTCCTGAAGATGAAAGGCATCTTTCTTTTTCCCTTTTCCTTCTTTGCTCTGGCTGGGATGTGGACAAGATGGTTTGAGCAGGAGCAGCCATCATGGGCCATGGGATGGGAGGCACCTGGTGAGAATGGTTGGGTAGGAACATGGCCTGGGTCCCCAACACCGTGACACCCCTCTGAGCTCTTGATTGTGTATGCTCAGCCTCTTACAGGATGGAGAAATATTCCTTAATCATTTTTATGCCACCGTCATTTTGGTGTTTGTTAAAGCAGCCCAACTCTAATTCTGCTGTGGATTTCGGTCACTTGCTAGTTAGTGAGCCCTTGTTCCACACGGTTAAGGACCCACCGTTCTCAGAAATGTTGCTTCCCTGTTGCTCAGCTGCTGTCCCGATCTCTGTGTCCTCACATCTCATCCCCTGAACTCGGTCTTCTCAGATTTCACTCCCCACCGTTCCACAGGAAGGGATTGGCAAAGGTCCCCTTTGACCCCCTCGCTGACCAATCCCACGAAGTTCCTTGGCCCTCATCCCGCCTTGGCCCTCCGTAGCACCCCAAGGGGGCGAGCTTTTTGGAAGTTGGTGTCCACACTGTCATTCCCTCCCTGGTCTCCTCCTGTCTTCCCGGCAACTCCTTCACAGCCAGTGTCGCCTCCTCTTCCTCTCACGTTCTTTTGAGCGCCCTGGGGGGCCCGAGGAGTGAGTCGGAGTTACCGGAATGAAAGGTGGGGGTGGGAGCTTGCACGACAGCTCTTCTCATCCCCAGGTCTGTCCCCCACTGGTGGCCCTGGGAAGGAGCAGGACTTCTGCGTCCTGGTTCCTAGCTAGCACAGCACATGCATCGTGGGCTGCCTCGGAGGTGTCTGTTGTCCACAGCATCCAGGTCCCTCTTCGTCCTCAGGCATGAAAAACCCTGATAGGGGGCTGGCACTGTGGCAGAGCGGGTAAAGCCGCCGCACTGGGTAAAGCCGCTGCCTGCAGTGCCGGCATCCCATATGGGCACCCGTTCGAGTCCCGGATGCTGCACTTCCAATCCAGCTCTCTGCTATGGCCTAGGAAAGCAGTAGAAGATGGCCCAAGTCCTTGGGTCCCGGCACCCATGTGAGAGACCGGAAGAAGCTCCTGGCTTCTGGCTTTGGATCGGTGCAGCTCTGGCTGTTGCGGCCAATTGGGGAGTGAACCAGTGGATGGAAGATCTCTCTCTCTCTCTCTCTGCCTCTCCTCTCCTCTCTCTGTGTAACTCTGTCTTGCAAATAAATAAATAGATAATTTTTAAAAGAACCCCTGATAAACAGTTCACTTCCCCATCTCTCTGGCACCTCTGTGTGGCCACATGACCATGCTTTGGCCAATGGGATGTGAGCAGGAAATGGACTTGAGCTTCCAGGCAAGGAGAGGGATTCCTCCCTCCCTCCCCACCAGGCTGGAATGTGGAGCATCTTTGACCTTGAGGACAACACCCTAGGCCTCAGGGGTGGATGATCAGTGAGCTGGGAGGAGCCTGGGTCCCAGAAACCAAGGCGGCCTCAGACCAGGCTTAGGCTGCTTTTGCCTGGACCGTAGGTGGCAGCCAAAGTCCCAGCTGGTTTAAGCCGTCCCAAGTACAGGTTATGGCAGCCGGACTGTCTCCCAGGTGGTACACAAGCCCAGCAATGCATCATGCGTTCTTTTGCAGGGTGGATAGAAGAAAGCCAAGAGACAAGAGGTAGATCTGGTGGTCCAATTAGTTAGTGGTCAGCCCAGCCTCCCTCGGGGACCTGAGAGTTTTGGGGTGAGGGCTCCCTCTTTCCCCCACCAAGGAGAGACTCAACTCTCTCTTTCACAGGCTGTGTCAAAGTCTCCCCAGGAGCCCTGGCCAAATGCTCCTGGTAACTTCCTGTTCTTTTCCTTACAGAGAAACTCCCAAGCTGTACAGTGCCTGCTCTCCATAAATCCCAGCTGCCCCCTGGATCCAGCCGTACCTGTCTCCAGACTAGACTGTGTGCTTCCTGAGGACCATGACTCTCACTCCCCGCAGCGCACCCTGTGCACTGCAGCTGCTAAGGGGTGTTTGCTGGATGGGGAGTGGAGCAGGAGTGAAAACAGGGGAGCTCAGAAAGACGCAGAGAAAATGGCTCTCGGGGTGTACATCTTATAAGGTGAGCTTCCCCGAGGTGCTTGTACTGGGTGCGCCCTCTCGGAGGGTTCCAGCTTCCAGCACGAGTCCTTGCGAATTTGATGAGGTTTGGGACCCTGCAGAAGGGGGGGTGCAGGTGGTCTGGAGCCTGGGGAGAGGTGGAGGGGTGCTGGGAGGGTCAGCAGGCCCAAGAGGGCAGGTGGGGTGAGAGGGCGTAGAGGACAGCAGCTGGGGGAACAGCCGCCGGCCTGGGCAGGGCGACTTGGCGCTGTGCTTTATTTGTTGGCTGGACACCCCTCGAAGGGTTCAGGGAGGCAAGCTGAAAACAGGAAGCCCCAGATGAGCTGTGATCCGAGATTGCCCGTTTGCTGCCCCGAGGAGCTGCGAGGGGGCTCCGAGGGACACGCCCACCCCCTCTGCTCGCCTCCGTCCTCCTCCCTCCCTCCTCCGCCTTCCCTGCTCCCCGTCAGGGCCCCTGCTACCCTGCTGGCCTCCTTCCTTCCATGTCCTCCGCTGCTGCTCCCTTCCCGAGCCCTCCTCACTGTCGCCTCCTCCTCTGCTCTCAGCTTCTCCTCCCCTGGTCCCCGTGCAGTTTCTCCCACTCCGCTCCTCCCCTCTCCTGCTTTCTGGATCGCTCTACCTTCCTTGGGGGCTTTGTGTGTGCACGTGTGTGCTCTGTCCTTGGGGCGAATGAGTGAATGAAGAGTGGGAACAGAGGGGCAGAGACACTGGAAGGAGTGGTTGGGAGGCAGTGTCGTGTTCTGAATGGGATTCCGATCCCCAGTTCCAGCCTGGAATTCTCTGTTTGCTTGAACAGCTCCTATCCGGGGAGCTCACAGAGGGGCAAGGCAGTGCAGGTGGGTTATGACCTCACGGCTCACAGCCAACAGTGAAAGTGAAACCAGGCCAGCATAGAGACCCACGGGCTCAGTTATACTTTGCAGGGCTGAGTTGCTTCATTTTGCTTTCTCTCTTCCAGAAAGCCGTTTCTGCATTTCCTTGTGTAATTACACAGCCACACCTGCTTGAGGCGGAAGTCAGAGGTACAACGTGAAGCTGCACAAGCCGGGAAGGCAGTGTGTGTCTCCCGTGCCTCCACCGTCTCTCCCCTCTGCAGGTAACCATTGGTTTTGGCTTAACCCCTTCATTGCATTTTGAAGGCAAATATGTGTCTTCCCTGTTAGAAAGTCTTGAGGTTAGCAGAGCATGCTCACTATTCTGCACACTCCTGTTCTCACTGCACAGCCGGCCATGGACCAGTCCAGGGAAGGACACGGACGTCCGCCTCCATCTCTTTTCCTGACGGCAAACCATTCCATTGTGTGCTGTATAACCACGGAGATAGCCGGTCCCTTACCGACGAGCGTGTGGACCGCGGTCAATGCACCATCCCCATGGTACCACGTCCCACGGCCTCTTGTTGCCAAATGTCTTCATGGGCAAAGGGCCCGCCCAACATCCGTCCACCTCTGCCTACCCATCGCTCCTGGCCGCCCGTCCCCTTCTGCAGAAACTCTGTCCTCTCTAGGTCCTGCAAGGTTTCTGATGGAAGCGGCAAACCCCCGAGAGTACAGAACGTGGCCCTCATGTCTAGAGAGTTTCCTCTTACAAACCGTGCCCGCACGGAGGGCCTTCTGTGCACCCATGTGTTGGCCTCTGTTTCTCGATGATGGATTTTTAGAAGCAGACTTGCTGTTGCCCGACTTTTACTTGAGTATCCTGTTGTACATGTTGTGTCTTGGAAATTTACCATGCATCCTTTCTAGAGCAAGTAGCGCAAAATAGTCCTCTTGGGGCCCCAACAGGTGGCCCAGTGTCTGGCATCTCTCAAAAGCTCAATAATTATAGAATGTGTAAGTTAACGAATGAATGAATCCAATCATTGTCTAATCCTCAGATGGATGGCCATTTGGCCAAATCATTTGTGTATCCTATAAATATTTAAATAGCATGTAATGTATTCCAGAACCTCTATAATGATCTGGATAACCCTTACACTAACCTACAGACCTCAGAAGAGATGCAATTGGGATGATCATACAGGACATAGATTTGCAGCTGGATGAACAACTAAGTACAAAGAAGTGTTTATTGATCTTTCAGTTTCAGCAAAGAATCTCAATTATTCAACTACAGAGAATCAAGTTTTATTGAACACAACACCCTCTCACTGCCCCTCTTGCTATAATAATGATGTTTATTATAGTTTTATTTAAAAATCATCATAATACTGTAAGATACTTGTTGTTATCACAAATAACTGACCAGAAAGCCAGTGCTGCGGCTCACTAGGCTAATCCTCTGCCTGCGGCACTGGCACACTGGGTTCTAGTCCCGGTCAGGGCACCAGATTCTGTCCCGGTTGCCCCTATTCCAGGCCAGCTCTCTGCTGAGACCCGGGAGTGCAGTGGAGGATGGCCCAAGTGCTTGGGCCCTGCACCCCATGGGAGACCAGGAGAAGCACCTGGCTTCTGCCTTCGGATCAGTGCGGTGCGCCGGCCGCAGCGTGCCGGCCATTGGAGGGTGAACCAACGGCAAAAGGAAGACCTTTCTCTCTGTCTCTCTCTCTCTCACTGTCCACTCTGCCTGTCAAAAATAAATAAATAAAACAAATAACTGACCAGGAAACTGAAGCTCAGAGAAGTAATCTAGGTAAGGCCAAGCAGCCTTAGGAATTAGGACTAGCAAGGGTCCACCAAAGTCGTGAGTGACACAGAGCTGAGAGGCCTGGTTACCGGTCGAGGCTGGGAGATGGAAGGGTGGGGCAGAGCAAGAGAGCTGGCTGTTGGCAGGTGAACGTAAAGCCCTCCCCCGGGACATGTGGATCCCTAGGGTCTCGTGTACAAAATGACCTGGAGGTATTCACCGAGGACAAGCACCACACGGGGCTCATGAAAGCCAGCTTTGGTGTTCAGCTGCATTAATAGAAGCAAGATAATTAATAGACTCAAGGCTCCACTTGGATACGAATCATACATCGTTTACTCCTTGTTGCATCTCCAGGCTCCAGCACAGTGTCTGGAAGAAACCTGGGTGTAATGGACACTCAGTATGTATCTATAAATTCCATACTCGGTATGTTCATCCAATCAGTAAACCAATGCATTGCATGCTTGTTGCCCAAATGCTCCTAGAGGTGCTTAAACTGTAGCTAAGTCCTTGAAGAGCTCATTCTAGTGGAATGGCAGGGAGAAGGACACAGACGATGGTGTGGAGCGGTGGAGGAGGTGCTCTGGAGAGGGGAAGGTGGGAGGGGAAGGCTGAGTAGGAGGGGCAGAGTCACAGGTGGTTACTGGGGAAGACCGTTCTGAGAATGGATGAAGTGAGGGTGTGAGCCGTGCAGGCAAGGAATGGCAAGTGCAAAGGCCCCGAGGCAGGAACACTGCGTGTATTCTGGGTAGAGGTAGGGGACAGGCTTATCTGATCCTGGCTGGTGAAACTACCTATAGAGCACCTTGATGTTGACTAATTCTGGCACCACACAGTTTAAGAGATTGCCAAATGGGGGCATTTCAAGACAGTAAAGGGTCTGAAACCAGCTCATATTAGGCTTGGGTTAAAAAGAGTGTTTTACATATACCTGCCTAATCAATTATTGGAACATGGTAAATGGTCCATAAATATTTGTTCAACTGGGGCGGGGGTGAGGAGGAAATTGAGTAGCAACAGTATGTCTTGTGGAAAATATCCAAAAGATTTTTTTAAATTGCTAAGAAATATTTAGCATATTATATGAGTAATAATAATGGTATAGCTATCTAAAAACTGTTATGATAGTAATACTGTCAATGTTATTAGGAGCCAAATTTTTAAGTATAAGGCAAAAGAGATGCAATTTTAAAATCCATGAAATTAAGGAGAAACTCTATAATCCGAGATTGTAATTCAAAATGTCAGTCTGACTTTATGCTGTATTTTCCTCTTTAATACATGTATTTTCTTCTGTGTTCACTGAAAAGGTCTAGAAAGAACAACCAACAACATAGTAATGAACATATTTAGCACTGAGACTGTAGTCTCTAGAAACCATTATCTTGGTGGTTTTAATGAGGGCTCTTTGTGGGGGATGGCAGATTGTAGGTTTGGGGCAGGAAATATACATGATCATCTTAGACCATCTTATCATGCTAGCAAGAGTGGGTATCATGTCAGAAAAACACATGTGAATCAACTTGAAAGGACTCCATTTAGTCAAAGGCGGGATCATTTGAGTATTAGACAAAATAAATGACTTCAATGGATTGAAATATATCAAATTGTTCATAATTTTTAACAAGCCACTGGTTGCTATTGGTGGATGCTAAGACCCAGTCTCACTATTCTAAAATGGTCAATAAAGAGATGAAAAAGTGTCCTTTTATGATGAATTCCACCCAATAAATGCAGGAGTACGAGAGTGAGAACATTCTCCTTCCGCAGCCCCCAAGGCAGTGATGGATCGGAGAACTAGTGCTCAAGGTCACGAGGACCTGGGAATGGGGGTTGGGAAATCACGATGCGTGGATCATGCAGGCAACACGTGCATTCACAGATCAGTCCTGACATCCCCAACGAGAGACCACCAGACCCCCTGTGCCTCCAGACTCACAAGGGAAATGCACACCTCAACCCAGGAAGTGTTCTTGCCAAAACCCAGGACCGGAGTCAGATCCGATCTCCTTGTCTAACCCCTGGGTGATGGGAAAGGCAGGCAAAAGAGGCGCAACCTGTAGCGGCCATCAGTCAAGTTCAGAGTGAAGCAAGTTCTACTGAAAAGTGGTGTCCTGCTCAACAGAGAGATGACAGGAAAACAAGAAACAGATAAAAAGGAACTGCTATAGATCAAAAGAGATTTAGGTCCTAGGATCGTGTGAATAGGAAGGCTGAGTTTGGGTATGATGAGAACAAATCAATTAACAGGGGCTTTGAACACTGAATCGATGGTGGGTGATATTAAAGAATTAGGAAGATTTTAAGTGTTATAATGGTGTTTGGCTCTGTTAAAGAAAAAAGCAAGCTTTTATGTGTTAGAAATGCACTCTGAAACATTCATGGGAGAAATGATATCTGGGACTTGCTTTAAAATAATCTGTTAAGTTAGTTAAGGAGTAGCTGCCGAGGACTGAGGAGAAGAGGGAAGGAGCAGGGGCCGTTAATGGCCGGGGCGTGACGGAAGCATCCGGGTTCCGCCTTGTGAACAAACCCCACTGAATTGTATTCTTTAGAAGTGTGCATTGTTTGAGAGTCGGAGCTGACTTTTCAGAAATGAGAAAAGTATCCAGCAATGTGTGAGAGCAAGTGTGGAGGTGTATGCAAAACAAAATTGGACATCAGTGGACAATGGTGGATTTTGAGTGATTGGTCCATGGAGTTCCAGTTTACCATGCTCTCTTCTTTTGCAAGTATTTGAACATTTCCATAATAAAAGGTTAAAACCAAGCAGAAAGGCGGAAGCCATAAGGGTGCGGGCAGCATTGTACTGGGAATGAGATGAAAGTGCACACGGTAACGTGTGGCTGTGGCTGGGACTCCTTTTTTGGCGTGACTACCTAAGACAAGGAAATTGTCGTTAACACCATTCCATCTCCCTGGGGAGGAAAAGGAGCCATAAGTCTAAGAGATTTACAACCATTCGTACAATAAAACAGTCTAACATTGTCCTGCGCCACTCCTGGAGAGGACACTGTGACATGTGACAGACGGCAGCTCCCGCAGTGCTCTCCGATGATCGGGTGTTTCTTAGAATATCCCCAGGTGCAGGCTCAGGTGCTGGTCTGCTCTGGCTACCGTGATGAGATACCACAGACCGCGGGGCTTCGACAACAGGCACTTACTTATTTCTGACGTCTTGAGGCTGGGCAGTCTGAGAGCAGGGTTCTGTTGGGGGCCCCTTCCTGGCTTGCAGAGGGCTGTGTCTTACTGATGTCCTCACGCGGTGGGGACAGTGTATCTGGCATCTCTGCCCGCAAGGCCACTGATCCCATCCTAAGGGGCCCACTCCTGTGACCTCATCTGTCCTAATTCTCTCCCACAGGTCCCATCTCCAAATGCCGTCGCATGGGGGTGAGGGCTTTAACTTGTGAACTCCGAGGGGACAGAGCTCAGCCAAGAGCATCTCAGGTCAGCCATGAGCATGGCTCGAAGGAAGCACCTGGAGGTGGCCAACGACATGCACTCCAGTGATACCTGGATCTGTTTTCTGTAAACTATGTTTCTTGCATTTGCAAGAACAATACACCTACAAGGCATAAAATGGTCAAAGCTATGAACAGGAAATGTCTCTCTCACTCGAAATTCATGCCTCCTGCTGCTACGATTCCTTCGTACCCTCTGGAAATATTCTATGAACGTCACAATGTGAGGGGATGTGCAACGGATCTCACCCACAGAGGAGAATGTTGAGGTGTGAATTTCTCTGGAGAGAGAAGCACCAGCCTACTCTCCCCTCCTGATCCCTCTTCTAGGCGCTTCCATGAGACGCGGCAGAACCAAGAGAGCAATTTCAAAAAATTCGCAGAAAAAGGAACGAACACATATGTTCATTTAGTTGCAAAAAACTTTTGAAATTCATGCAGTATTTTCATAATATACATTTTCTATGAACTTTTCGAGGATCCCTCTGTACATGGATTTGAAAACTTTTGCACCAAAATAAACGTAGATTTTAATTCCATTTTCTCCTTGAACTTTTGGAAGTGGCCTCGTGTGTATTCCGAGCAGTGAGATGGGGCTCAGCGGCCGGGTGCCGACCCCTCCCGGGGCATCTGAAGACCAGCTTCCCGGGCGCTGGGACGGACCTGCACGCGAGCCTATTCAAGCTCAGAGTGCAAAGCTTCCTGTGGACACAAGTGGGCCAGCTTTGAACCCCTTTAAATCCTACATCTGGGGGAGCTGCAGCTGAAGGAGAGACAATGCCGCCTCCCTCTGGTGGTCCAGGCACTGTCGTTCTCATCGGAGCTGTGCAACCATGTCCCTGTGAAATTCCTCTTGCCCAGGCCACGTGTCCAGCTGATTTCCTGGGGGCACCTCTGCAGGTGAGCCCTCAGTGCTTTTAAAGACCCCCAGGCAGAAGTTCAGCCCAGGCTGAAAATCATGACTTTGATCATCTCTGCTGCCTTCAGCCACGCTGGTCCCTGCCTCGCTGCCTTTGCACTTTGGGACGATTTCTCCCAAGCTGTCTATGGCCAGGGGACCTCTCCGTGGAGGCTTTTCCAGCTGCTCTCTGCCTGCTCTGGGCAATCTCTGCTGGGTTACACTGGTTTAATATTATTGTTTTGCTTACCACCTGAACCCATCTGAAATGACTTGTCTGTTACTATGTTTACTGCCTTTCTCTTCCACTAACACAACACGGAAGCCCACGGGACCGGCAACCTCCTCCTGTGTCTTGCTAGGGAAGTAATGTAACAGGGTGTTTAAGAATACAAGTTCAAATTCCAGCCCCATTACTGATTTGTTGTGTGACCTTGGGGATGTTAGCTAACTTCTCTTGTTGAGCATGAAGTGAGATGTCACAGGCAAGTGGTTTGGAGGAGCACTTGACATTACACGCATCCAATAAATGCCACAACAATTATGCTTATTCCCCCTCTTCCCCGTAACACCCAGCATAAGGCTTGACACACAGTAGGTACTCAGTAAGTATTTGCAGATAGGGTGAATGAAGAAAGTGCTTCAAGAAGAGAGCCTGGGCAGAGGGGAGAAAGAGATGTCAGGGCCCTGGGATTGAAACAGAGAGACTCACAGCCTAAACAGAAAGCCGAGCCTTGAAGTCTTCTTATTGGAAACGGAGGGTTCATTGAGATCCACGCCTGAGGAAGTGGCAACTCCATCTCCCCTTGGAAGGGAACTCAGGGCATGGGCCAAGATCCTTCCCAGAAAATGGTTTGGAATCAACCCCAACCCAGAAACACATGAGCGCCTCAAGTTCACTTGCTCTGCTTCAATCGCCTAGAAAACATTGAGCGCCAAGCGTGAGCAGCTGCTCCCCCAGCCAAGTCCACGTCCAACACATCTCCCTCTGTCAAGGTCCCCGTTGGAGCCTGCTCCTTCCCGGGGCGATGGCTGAGACCCATTTGTTTTTCTAAAACGAAGATAACCACATGAGGTCACATACTGAACCCGGTTATTGACAAATCAGCGAAAAGTCAGGAGGATGTCTACCAAAAATAACAGTAGGCTCAGCCCTGGTGCTCTGTGGTCTTTCTCTCTGGCAGTCAGTGGCTGCCAGGGCCAGCCAGGGATCCGGGCCTCTCCTAGTCTGAGATAATAAACCCAGAACCCTGGCACAGCTGTGATTGCTTGTTTTCTGTTTTTCTAACAGGAAGGCATGTGTCCAGCTCATTCCAAAGTGGTATCAGCTCATCAAGAAACTAGTTAAATGGGGTGAAAGTGGGCGGGTTCCATGGCTGGGTCACCACCCAGTAAATTCTTAACCAGGCTTGTAGGCCCTAGACTTGCCAGGCGGGATTAGCAGAGGTCTGATAGGAATGCCAGGCTGTGCTCATGGAGTTTAGCTCAGACCCAGCCCCGGAGCTTGGCTTCAGTGACTGAGCAGAGGCACACGGGGGTCACCAGCACCCAACACTGATAGAGGTTTCTCAAACTTCCTTGGTTCCTGGCATCCGTTTCAGAGACTTTATTTATTTATTTATTTATTTATTTATTTATTTTTTGCCTACTGCCTTCCTAGGCCAAAAGAAATGCCAGACAGTTTAATCTATTAAGTAGTTAGTGCTGAATAGCTTAGTGTTTATGTCCTAAGAACTTAGTAACTGGTTAGAAGAAAGCATACACTACTTGGATTTCACTTCTAAGCAGCGACCATTGCTTACTCCTGGGATGGGAGTATTTGTTGGGCACTGCACAAATTCCCAAACCTTAGGATCAGACTGGATGCTATCACCCTCATTTCCTGTTCCTTGTTGATTTTCACATGATACTTGCTTTTTAGCGTGACCACTGTTAACATCCCAGCCTCACTAAGTTACGACACCATTGAAAGGAACAAGTCATCTAAACCAGAAACGCTCAACTCTTCTGGCTAGTAATGAGAGTGGCTGAGAATTGCCGTGTTTCCCTTGGACTTGCAAAACATACCACGTTGGCCTTGGGAGTCCCTGGCCCTCTGGGGCATCTCAGTGCAGTCCGGGAACTGTGAACCTCACGGTATTACTTTTGGGGTTTTCCCCGAGCAGTAAGTAGCGGAAGAATCTTCCGGAAGAGATTGTCCTCTCTTCATGAACAGCCTGGGTCTGGAAAACCCGGGGAGGAAGACCCAGTGAGCCAAGAGACACTGGAAACCAATCACCTTTTAGGGAAACTGAGGGAGGGTGTATGCTCTATGCAGGATCCATGCCTTGGGAGCATGGAGTTAATGCCAGAGTGGGATAGTTAGCAAGGTGCACTAGTTGGCAAAGGTGGGTTAGTTAGCAAGCCGCATTAATTAGCAAGGTGGGTTAGTTAGCAAGTATAATCTCACTGTTTAGAATCGTCCCTACAGAAGTCTGAAAAGGAAATATTCTTTGAGGGTTGGACTAAGAGAGAGAGTCAAGGCACCCTTCCTTCCGGTTCTCAAGGAGTTCACAGGCCATAGAGGGGCTGATGCCCACACGGACGAGTCAGGAGAGGCTCATCAGCACAGAGCTGGAGGCCAGTGCAGGCTGCTGCAGGCGTGTGGCCCACGGTGTCACCCCGACTTTCTCTGTGCTGACGATGGAGCTGAAACTGTAAACTCACCACTCACGGTGGGCGCTGGCTTTAGAGATGTCAGCGTTTCCACATTTGTTCTTGCAGAGGGTCCTTACCTGTTCTGTGTGCAGTGCTCACGCCGGGCCAGGAGCGGTACGGCATACTTTGCATGTATTATCTCATTTAATCTTCAAAAACAGACACCCCCACCCCCACCCAGGGCTTTGGGCCATGATGTACCCAGACAAGCCCTGACTCTGTCAGCAACCATAAACCTGGAAACAACCTATGAGGCGACTGTGTTTAGGCAGTGGAAATCGGCAAGGCAGGGCTGCTGTCCCCCCCTCTCCCCCCCACCAGGAGGGAAGCTCAGGCCGGGAACCCACATTGGCCCAGCCTCTTTCCAGCCTCCGCCCCCACCGCTCCGCCCTCACCCATGACCCTGACCCTGACACTGATTGGCAGTCCCCGGGCACTTCCTGCAGCAAGTGCCCGGGCTCTTTCCTACTTTGGGCTTTTGCATGTGCTGTCCTCTGTGTCTGGAAGATTCTTCCCTCCTGTCCAGCGCATGGCTCAGTCTCACTCTTGATGTCTTTGCTCTAACGCCTCCACCTCAGAAGTTTTCTCCGAGAGCTCATTTTTCTCTCTTTTAACAACTTGTTCTTTTCCTGCCTGGAAGTGGGGAGAGCTTGTAATTGGAAATTTATTTGCTTGCTTGTAAATTGTCTCTCTCTCCCACTAGACCATGACTTCTTCTTCTTCTTCTTTTTTAAAGAATTACTTATTTACTTGGAAGGCAGAGAGAGAGAGAGAGAAAGAGAAAGAGAGATCATCCATCTGCATATCTTCCATCTGCTGGTGCATTCCCCAAATGGTCACAACCATCAGGGCTGGTCCAGGCTGAAGCCAAGAACCTAGAACTCCATCCAGGTCTCCCATGGAGTGGCAGGGGCCCAGAAACTTTTCTGCTGCTGTCTCGGGTGCGTTAGCAGAGAACTGGATCAGAAGTGGAGCAGCCAGGCCTTGGACCAACATTCTGATCTGGGATGCCAGCGTCACAAGTGGCAGCTTCGGCCACTGTGCCACAGTGTTGGCCCCAAGACCATGGCTCCCACACTCGGGGCTAAACACAGCATGTAGAACAAAGCATGTGCTCCCTAAGTAGCCATTGAATGAAGGAAGGAATGGCTGACTAGATCAGCCCCTCCCTTTCTTGGGGGAGGTGTGGGAATGGGAATTAGGAGGAAAGTTGGGAGGGGGATCCTTCCCCCCGTTCCAAACCTTGTAGGGTAGAATAGAGAAGGCTGGAGATGGACCTGGGATTGGAAGCTA